ACGGCCGATTATAATGAGCGATATTAACGTGGCCCACAAAGCGTTGACCATGGTCCAAAAAACACTCGAGTACACACAAACACACACACACGATTCAGGTGAGAGCAATAATTAAATTCGAGTTGCGCGCCCGGCAGCAGACAGAAAAGTTCTAAACTTTTTTGGCAACGCGCTTTGGCAATTTATACAATCATGATCGGGCCAAAACCAAAAGGCAAAAAGGGGGCATTCGGGGGTTAAAGGGGGGCTGGGCACACGCTTCAGTGGGTTAGGTAATACAACACACTCGGATTCACCACAGAATTCACATTAGTGGAACAATTTATGGTTCTATCGTAGGTAGAGCTGAATCTTCCGCACAAATCTTGGCATTCTTCAATTAACCGCAATTCTCCACAAGAGTTCTTATCACTCTAGAAAGCGGATTTTACTATTTAATCGCTCTTTGTGGATCTCATACCAGACCGCTTCTCTTCGAATTTGTTTATTTGTTTTTCAGTTTCTTTTTTGTTTGTGAATGTCACATGTGAATGACCCCGTTCCGAAATAATCACCGCAATTATAATGCAAACATTTCTAAATGGTTTTTAACTCTCTCATCTGGGCATTTTATTTTTTATATATTTATGTGTTACGTATTTGTCTGCGAATAGACTCGTTACATCAGTCAGTAGACAGAGAGAAATTTGTGGGGAGGGGGCCTTGGAAAAGCGCTACGAATAATACCCATTTTAATGATCAAAACGGAGCCACACAAAATGATGGTTTAAAAATAGAGCTACATTTCAATTTAATATTAATCAATTTGTGACATTTCTAATAGCATTTTACTGGCACGTTTCGTTATATGGTGCACTGAAAGGAATTTGATATAAAGATTATATATATTTTTTTAAACAGAAAACAAATAATAAATGTATTTACTGCCCAAAAATTAATGATTTTCTATAAAAATCTGCCTTTTATGACCACATCTGCTGTTAGCCACAAATTTTAATAACCTTTAATACTTCACACAATCAGCCAAGTGCCTGATGTGTGGTCCGATTTCTCAATTAAAAGTACTTCCACAGAAAAATCATAAAAAAAACTCATTTCGATCGACTGAAAACAAAGATATTCAGCGAATTTCCTTCGCAGGCATTGCGTAATTGGAAATCCTTAAAGGATCCAAGGGAACAAGCCAACTGCGAATGCATTGAGCTCCTGACACTTTTGCGGGGCTGCCCCTTTCCTTTCCCCCGCGTTTCACTTTTTCTAATGTGTTTGCCAGCCGGTGCATGCAACAAAGGGGCACAAAGGATAAAGGATATTGCCGCAATGGGAAATCAAAGCGCATAGGATAGCAATGAGGAGGGACCAGGTAGTGAGCAGGATGCGCGTTAATCGCCATGTTGCAGGTAAATATAATCGCACAAAGTAACAATGCCAAAAAAAAAAAAGCGGGGAAACTGGTTGGCAATGGCAGGAGGATTCCTTGGAGCGCCTTCGATTTAGTTGAAACAGCTTGCCAGGCTTAGGGTGCACGGGGCCAAAGGATGCACGGCATCAGTAGCAAATTGAGCCTGAAAAAAGGATTTAATGTTCAGTTTTTTAACAATTGCGGCTTGTGCGGCTAGAGCAGCAGCTGCTCCTCCGATGGCAACTGTGCAAGCAAGGCATCCTTTCTTCGTCCCCTCATTTGATTGAAACTTTCACCTTTGGATCTTCATCTGTCAGCGAGAGTTTTCCCCCTCGACGGATTGCATTTCGAAAAAGGACCTTGACTGGCACGCGCATTCAGGCACATTGACAGCAGCAACGACACAGGAATCGCGTATAAGAATCAGGAAGCCTTTCCAATTATTGAAAGTCAGCTTTCTGCCCGAACCGCCCTCATTTCATTTTCATAATACTCGGCACGCTTCGCAGTCAGAGGTGGCACACAGTCTTTGCAAAAAAGTCAACTTACAACATTGCTAATATGAATTATTTCTCAAAATTTACATTTTATTATAAGTATTTTAAATGAAACTATAATACATGGATTTATAACTGCACAGGATAAAACAAAGTAAAATGCTATAGTCGAGTTCCCCGACTATTAGATAAACAAATAAGAAATTTCAACATACATCAGACAAATTTTCTAAATTTGAATGCAGACTTTTAGAGAATTTCGCCAGAATAATTTAGAGGTATGCCACTTCAAAATCCGATAAAGATTTGCTGAGTTATGAAGTTTAGAACTTCAGCCTTGGGACATTTTTTAACTTATTTAATATCTACAACAGCATCACATCAAAAAAATTACAAACAAATTTAAAAAAAATGAATTTCTATATTTGAATGCAGTTTTTTAGAGAATTGCACCAGAAATATTTAGAGGTATGCCACTTCAAAATCCGATTAAGATATGCTGAGTTATGAAGTTTAGAAATTTAGCCTTGGGTCATTTTTTAATTTTTTTGAATTTCTTCAACATCACACCAAAAAAATTACAAAAAAAATTAAAAAAAATTAATTTCTAAATTTGAATGCAGTTTTAGAGAGAATTGCATCAGAAACATTTAGAGGTATGCCACTTCAAAATCCGATTAAGATAAGTTGAGTTATGGATTTTAGAACTTCAGCCATGGGACAATTTTAATTTTTTTGAATTTCATAATATCAAAAAAACTACAAAAAAATTTAAAAAAAATTAATTTTTTAATTTGAATGCAGTTTTTTAGAGTATTGGACTAGAAACATTTAGAGGTATGCCACTTCAAAATCCGATTACGATAAGTTGAGTTATGGAGCATAGAACTTCAGCCTTGTGTAATTTTTTACTTTTTTCGAATTCCTAACATCAAAAAAATAACAAAAAAATTTAAAAAAAATAAATTTCTAAATTTGAATGCAGTTTTTCAGAGAATTTTGCGAGAAAAATTTAGAGGTATGCCACTTCAAAATCCGAAAAAGATAAGTTGAGTTATGGAGTATAGACATTCAGCCTTGGGACATTTTTTAACTTATTTAATATCTACAACAGCATCACATCAAAAAAATTACAAAAAAATTGAAAAAAAATAGATTTCAAAATTTGAATGCAGTTTTTTAGAGAATTGCACCAGAAATATTTAGAGGTATGCCACTTCAAAATCCGATTAAGATATGCTGAGTTATGAAGTTTAGAAATTTAGCCTTGGGTCATTTTTTAATTTTTTTGAATTTCTTCAACATCACACCAAAAAAATTACAAAAAAAATTACAAAAAAAATTAAAAAAAAAATAATTTCTAAATTTGAATGCAGTTTTATAGAGAATTGCACCAGAAACATTTAGAGGTATGCCACTTCAAAATCCGATAAGGATAAGTTGAGTTATGGAGTTTAGAACTTTAGCCTTGGGACATTTTTTAATTTTTTTGAATTTGTACATCAAAAAAATTTAAAAAAAAAATTTTTTAAATAGATTTTTAAATTTGAACGAATCTAGTATACCCTTTTACTCTTTTACCCTTTTACTCTTCGATTTAAATCCATAAATATCTACATTATTCCTAAGAATTGACATTTTACACTCGAATAACTTGGCTTGAAACAAGCTAAGGCCAACAGCACAGTTCGCATCAGATGTATTTTCACTATTTCCGGTGTGACTACCCTTTTTGCATCTTTGAGATGTCGCGTGGCCAACACGATTCGAAGGGGTGACAAGGGGTTAAGCGTTAACTAATATTTTTCCTATCGTTATGCTAAAGAATCCGCTTCAATCTGTGCGGCACTCAGAAGGGGAAATGGCTTTCCTGCGGCTTTGCCGGCTTTGTTCTACCTGACCCCCGGCCATAAATCAAATTAATACCCATAACATGGGCTCTGATCCCATCTGACTACTGCCTCCAATCACAATTAACTGGGACTCGTGTTTCGTGAACTTCTCTCATTATTCAGACGGTTTTTGGCGCTCTAATGAACATTTTGTGGTTACCTTGGTTGGACTTGGTTGGAAGCGCAGGCAATTGTGTTTGGTGCTTTTTGATTTTTGTGCATCATTAGCCATAGGTCAGAGTTTCATTCATAAAGTGTTCTGTGTTTTTCCGCGGGTGCTGGCTCATAAATGATCCACAATGAAGTGATCATATGCCATACAGTAGCAATTGTCGGCGGGTAAATAAATGGGGCATCGGAATGTAAAGGGAAGTTTTGTAAATGACGGCGCTTATTCTTAATTATTTAATTTGAGCATATTATACCAAATCCTGATATAGAGTAAATATTTCCAGTAAATATCTACAACTCCTGATAAGAAATAGGTAAGGATACAATATTCCTCTAACTGCAAGCTAAAAGTACTTATAGAACGTAACAAATGTTTAAAATGTACTTGTTACCCGTCTGATTCAATTTTACGCCATTAGTAGTCCTAAAATCCAACTAATAGAGTCACCCCATCGCTCAGTGTAGGGCGTGTCACTCAGAATGATGACGTACAACGCCCACACTTCGATGAACAAATGTTCGGATTTCACTCCCTCCGCTGCCTATGCGAAAACTATAAAATCAAAATTATGTACAGATTTCATAATCAATCAAAGTCATAAGTGAAAAGAGCGCCGTAGAACAAAAAACTGATTGAAAACTGGATATGGCGAGTATGGCGTACAACCCCCACTAAAAAGCGAAAACAGCAGCATAACCAAATGGGCTAAGGGTGCAGCATCGAGGGGGTTACAAGGTGGAAAGGCGTATCAAAGTTCCATAATGATGAGTAATTGATAGTGACATAAACGGTTTCCATTGGCAATATGCTCGGGGAAAGGGGTTGGGGGAGCTGAAAGAGGGCTGCTTACCATCGGAGGGGTGAAAAGCCGGCAAGTGTTGATAATGATATTGAAACCCTTTTTTTACCCTTTTTTGCCCCATTTTATCAGCACTTTTTTCCGCCAAATTCTCACTTCATTTCGTTTAGTCTATAAAAATGCAATTGCTTAACCCTTTTTCTCCCCGCTTTTCCACATATTTCCCTGTGATTTATAGCGCTGGCTACAAGCTGTCGTGGCAAAACAATATTAAATCCTTGGTATCTAAGGCCCGCCGACGGCATTGGATATCATAATTATAATAGCAACAACAACGGGAGCGGGGAAATCAACAAGGATGTTGGCCAGCAGATGACTTCCGCATGTGGCGATGGCCAGACATGTCTGCCAGTCTCGTATTTTGGCATGGAGACGCTGGCATCTATCAAACAGAGACAGAAATCCCTGCCAGACTTTCTAATACCGCTGCACGAAATTATGTTCCAGCAACAACATCATTACCAGCAAAGGACAATGGGCACATTAATTAATAGTCTGCCACACGGCTTGGTCGGGTATCCCCCCCAAAAAGCAGAGACGTTCAAGTCGTTAACCCCACCGAAAGCACTGCAGCACCACCAAAATCACCAGAATCACCAAAATCACCAGAACCACACCGGTGACCACTCCTTCGTCCGGCACTTTCACGAACGAGATCGCCTCATTCGGGAGCACCAGCTCAAGCATCAGCAATTGCGTGACGAGGAGGAAGTCCTTCAGGAACAGGAACAGGAGCAGGACGAGGAGCAGAGGCAGGAAACGCTGGGGAAGCCCCACGATGCTCCATCTGAGCTGGAGCACAAACATCATTGGCATGGCGTCGTTTGCGATGCCAATGGCCATGCCACGAGGCTGCTCCACATTGCCCCACCAAGGGCCGGACCTACACCACTGCCATCACATCAGCAAGCGCCAGTCAGAGAGGTCCTGCCACCCCACTCCACGTCCTTCTCGACTATTGCGGATCCGCCCAAGGAGCCCGGCATTTACGAGCAGCCAGCACCAAATGGCCGACATTGTCGTCCTGCCAACAAAGGTAAGTTTTATGCTCGAATTAATTGCTTAGCAGGTACGAGAAGGAATGGATTAGTTAGTAAATGGTGATAATATGTTCAATACACATATTTGTTTAGCCAAGCCATACATCGGTCAATCTAAAGTTAAAATTAGTAGTTATGTTGTGACTATTTTTTATTTAAACTATTGAGGAATCTACTTAAAATTCATAATTATCCAATTATGTCATAGTAGATAACTTTCTACAATTTTTTTGTACTCTCAAAAAGAAAGACATCATTCCACATTTCACATCTAATTCAAGGTAACCCAAATCCAACCACTCAAAAAGTTCAGAATAAAACCGAATTCAACTCAATTACAAGCTCTCAACTTAATACAATACCTCTGCACCCTCAGCCACCCCAAGCAAAGTTCACAGGGAAAAGAGAAGAAAGTGGGGAGAATACCCCATCAGAATTGCCAACATACAAACTCCATTTAAAATCACTAAAATATTAATAAATTTTACAAAAGTGCGAACGAAATATGCGTGAAAATTCTCAAGTACACCAGCGCAACCTTTACAACTTTATTTAATGGAATTTAAAACCACTTTGTCCGCCCACTGGGTGGGTGGGTCAGACTGGGGTCATTTGGTGGGTGGTTGTCGGGCTGCCCGAAAAGGTTGCTTGCGGCGTTCTAAAAAACCGAACCACAATTGCATGAGGTAACCTTTGACAGGGACACAACAAAAAGCGAAAATAGGAAAATAGAACCCACCCCGCGCCAACAATGGGCGAGCAGGGAAAATCCAAAGTGAAAAGCTCTGAAAACTGTGAAACTGGTGTCACTACCAACTGTGACCCGGTACCCTGAGCAGCTTATGGCCAATTGAGCCCCGCCTCGGGGACCAAACTCCAAACCGAGGGTGGCCGTAAATCCAATAAAAACGCTTTACAAGCTGTAAAGCAAAGATCATAAATCCATTTTTGTTTTTCACCCACCACCGCACCTCCATTTAAATGCGATTTACATTTTTCCACCGACTCTAAAATGGTTGCGCATCGCCATAAGGGTTAGATTTGCATAGATTGATTTGTAAAAAATGTTGGATTGTCAAAAATGGAGTCATTAGTGTAGCCATTCAGTTTTTATCAAAAATCTATAAATAAAGTAGCATTTTTTGAATTATTTTAAGTACTTCTATAGAACTATCAAAATAATCGGCTAATGTCTGAGGAAGTTAATAAAATTGTACTTTGCAGTAAATTCTATTATACCACTAAAAACTAAATATGACTTATTTAAAATATGTAAAGCATTCATAGGGAACGCACTAATGCTTCAAATTACCATTTAAGTATGCTGTTATTTGTTACTCTTAAAAAGTTTTATCTCAAACCCAGCACGATAGATATTTATGCTTTTGTACTGTTAAAGCCATTGAAAGTTTTCCAAGCCGTCAATCGTTGGTAGAAAAGGAACCCTCTCGAATCGCTCCCTCCAAAACTTTTCAACTCATTCCATCTGCTGATCCAAAAACACCGAGTACATCTTGTACAAAAAACCCACAAAAATAGCGCGCCAAAATAGTAGAAAGGAACCCGATTAAAGCGAGCGCAAATCGATGAGGAAACCTCAGCAACGGAAATCAATAGAGGAAGAGCACAAAGCATCCTCTAAATGTCCTTTTACTTCCGCATTTGTAGCGCCGCATATTCTGCCCTTCTTGGATTATTTATTAACGTTTATTGATTTCGACTTGCCCAGCGGCAATCTGCCACAGAAAATCGCTGTCAATCGGCGCTGCAACCCTTCGGCGAAGACCATAGTCTGATATTTCAACAGAAAATAATGAATTTTCTTCACATTTTTTCGCCGCACAATGCCGAAGAAAATTGCGCGCCGTTTTTTCAGTGCGTTTTTTTGGGACAGAAAACCGAAGAAACCGTGCAGAGCAGAGACTCAAGGGTAAAAATTGAGGATCACTGTCGAGGATTACCCGAGATCTTCCACGGCTTAGCTGTAAGGTAAACTCACGAGGGGTTGCAACCCCTTGGCTTCGGCTACCTAAGGGTGAATGTACCCCAATAATGCGTAATTTTTTAAGGTAAAAACGGCTCGAAATTGAAAGAAATTCAAATTGAACAATGGCCAATTTTTTGGGTGATTTTTTGTGCGATTTTTGTGCCTTCGGGGAGGGTGAGAATTGCGGTTCCTTTTTTACTTTTGGGTGCCAGGACTCTGATTAAGTACGGGATATCTAACGGAATTCTCGCAAAATTTTCTCACAATTTTTTGGGCAAAACACTATTGATTTATGTGCCTGCTTTTAACCCATTTTGGATAGAGAAAATGAAATGTTTTTCAAGAAAACCGTTACTTTCGGGTTGTATTTCGTTTCCAAAGTTGTAGGTTTTTATGATGGGAAAACGGGTATTTTATAAAAATGTAGTTTCAAATATCAACGCCATTAAGTAGCTCAGCTTCAGCCAAGTTGTGCTGCTAATTTGAATATCTTAGGCATAAATTTGCATAAACTAAACTACGCTTCAGTACCATCACTAAAACGCCAACTAATGCCCATAAACCCCTGAAGAAGCCCCACAAAAGGACGAAAGATGTGAGCCCCAACTGTGACCACTGCCCCAGCCACTTGAGCTCCCCCTTCGATTTCCCTATCCAAAATGTACAATCAACTTGAGGACGGAATGCTAGTCTCGTCTTATTTGCTTAACGCAAATTGGTATGTCATTTTAATGCGTTGCAACAACAAGAAGCGACAGGGAAATGTCGTAGTTTTCACAACCACCCGACATTGTTTGGTTCCGGGTTAGTGCTGCGCCCACAACCACTTTCCACTTTCCTCCTCCGCCGGCGATCCTGGCGATGTCCTTGTCCTTGTCCCGTCTGTTTTCGTCATGCAAAGTGTGTGAGGCTTTCACATCCACGCAAAACTCCCTTTTCCTTTCGATTTTCCGGCGATGCTGCGAAGCGTTTATTTTCTTGATTAATTTCAATGCCCAAAAACCTCGTACGTCGCTATGCACATGTGTGCGTATTTGGGTGTTCGTCCCCCTTTCTTTTTGTTGGTCCTGCCCGTTGTGTCCAGTGATGTCCTGGCTGTCTGTGCCGTCTGCTCCTGGCAAATAATCAAATTGCCTAGACACCGCCCAAGAACTAGGCAAAATAACACAGGGAAAACTATCCAAAGTGAGGAACTGTTTATCTTTTGTCTCCCTGTGACAAGTTTAATCAGCAGCAGCAGCAGCAGCAACGCCAGTACCAAAAAGGATAACTATTGAAATTAGTTTGGGGGAGACTTGAACGATTGCTATTGATTTTTCTGGCCTTCCCTCTGTTCCTTAAATCATTTTTGCACTTTAATGTGCAGTAATGCGTAAATATTTATAGTGGATACATAAGTTTCTGTAGGTAAAATATTTTAGGAATACCTTAATAATTATTACCCGTATCAACCAACAATAAATTAAAGGTCCTTGTTTTTCAGTCTTGTATTAAATTATGAATCTATTAAACGAATCTTTTATATAATAAAAAAAATAACAAAATAATAAGAAGGCTTATATTCATAAGTGCTCGTTTATATTTCGTTTGCTTTTATTGGTGCTTTCAAAATTCTTTAATTGTTTTGGTCCTCGGAGCCAAGAGGAAATCGAGTCCTGAAGGCAGAAACATTAATTTTGCAGTTTTAATTAAAATGCTTCAGACGAAACGGGAAATGAGCCCAAGTTGGTGGAATGAGAAGGGGACTGGGAATGATTTTCCCTCAAGAAAGCATTTTCCCTGCAACACCCACAAACTTTGGCGAAAAGAGAAAGAAAGGAAAGCAAAGGCAAGTGCAGTCACAGTCATAATCATAAAGTGTATGCGCTGTCGCCAGGGCTGCAAAGGTCCTTCTCTCCCGCTTTTCCCCCACAGAAATGCAGGAAAATCGAATGGGTGGGAGGTGGAAAATGGAAAAGAAAAAGGGGCGGAGGCAGCTGGAGAGCGCAACAACACTTGTTGTAATTACTCGAGCAAGTCTCGGTTCAATGGCTGCGCTGATGTTTATATGAATGAGCTTTGTGTTTATATAATCACACCAAATGCTCAGCTTGATGGGTGAACTGCAGTTTTGCAGGATTCGGAAAAAGCTGGATTGAGATTCATAGTTTAACAATTAAAAGTGGTGGCATTCTAACTGGCATTATCAATTTGGAGTTGGACTCTTGTTTCAAGTTTAAAAATATTCTTTATATGCGAAGAGAAAATGAAAAGTTAAATGATTTACAAATAATAAACCTTCAATAAAAGCATCTTAATATATCTCATATTCCACATATAAAACATTTACTAAAGTATATACACAACGGATTTATATGTTAAAACGTTTACCTTCCAAAATATTATATAATTTAACTTGATTACTATTACTCATTATACGAGTAAGAGTGATGCATTCAATGTAAAGTCAGAAGGAAGCAAATGAACTATTATAAAAATGAATCTGAGCAAACTGAGCTCCCGGGATTTCTCCAAAAAACTACCCGTTCAATCCGAACCATGTATAAGCCATGTAGAAGCCAGACAACACCTTCCCAGGAGCACATAAAACCCGCACTTAATTATGATTTACTTGCAACTGGGGGAAAGTCGGGATATGCAAAGAAATGCTGCATACTGCGCAGAAAGTCGGAGAATGCATAATACATAGGCCACACCCATTTCGCAGGAGAAGTCAACTTGTGGCCTATGCTAATGCAGGAAAATGTGGAAATGCAGGAAAATGTGAGAATGCAGGAGAGGGCCAACACAATGAAGTCCCAGGATATTCTGATCAGAATGCACGGCGACAAAGAATACGTTCCACACCACACACACACACTGAAACTCGGCTAACGGTGCAGGGGTTGATAGCTGGGGAAACTGAGCGAGAGAGCGGAGAGGAAGTGAGGAAAACTACGGCTGCAAATCATAAAGCATATCACACACACACTCTAGCAACCAGAAGAGAGAGTGAGAGAGAGGGCAGCGAGTGCGAGTGAGAGGTGGCATGCACATAGCAGAGAATGCAGCAAAATACGATTCCTCAATTCAGTTTCTAAGTTGCATTCGAGCGAAGAAGTTGAAGCTAGACGGTCCGGTTTCCGTACTCGTGACAACTACTGAAATCGAAAAGAGCAGACCGGGAAATTAGGAAATCGTAGACTGCCTTTCTTGTGCATGCTTAAGTGACCAACGGATTATTTAAATTTTTAAGACATTTGTTAAGCAAAAATTGCAAAAATGATGGTGCTACAGCAACAACAACAGCGTCTCTGGGATGCAACAACAACCAGTAACACAAATACACAAGCACAACAATCGGCGAATGCGGAAAGCACGCCAACAAAAGTTTGCCATCAGGAAAATGCAACAACAGCGGCACACACATGTGAGTTTTTCAGGGTTGCCACCCTACAACCAGCCATGGAAGCTTTTCGATACGTGTGGCTAGAGTTGTCACGTGCACACGGACTTCGGCGAACATATTGAGGAATTTGTTAGATTTTAATATTTATTAAAAATTGGAAATTCATTTCAGTTTTTAAGGTTAGATCAGTCAGAACAACCAACAAAGCAGGATTTAAATATTGAAAAATTTTAAAATGTTTAAAATTTTTAATCTGTTTATTCATCTAACGCATCGAAATGCTTTATTGATTTTTTAAATAATACACAGCCAGGAAGTCAACCAAAACAACTTACCAAATGAAAACCAAGATTTATAGCAACCCGTACCTGTTACAGAAACTTTTCACTTTCTCAAGCAATAAATCTGGTCAGAAAGGGACTAAGGACACACAAAGGCCACCGATTATCATTACACGCCCACACATTATCCCAGGTCCAGATCAGATCGCATGGTATATAGAAGAGGCACACACAATTTCCCTATCAGATGAACGATTTCATGGCGTTTTGCCATAGATTTGATGCGATGTCCTGCTGCTGACGGTGTCCTTTTTTGGGCAGCTGCTGTCCTTGAGTGTCCCACTGTGCGAGCGTGTGATCGTAGTTTTTAGATTTCTTGTGTTTGCATTTGCATCCTGGCAGTGTCCTTTTTACCTGTGCCCCAGACGTTGTCCGCCTTCCATGAGGGTATTTTGCATGAAAACAAAGGAGAAAGGAAACGCTGTTTTTTTTCTTAACATTCCTGGCATTTCCTTAGTTTTTTAGGGCGAAAACCGTTTTCCAGCCTAGGACGTAGGTAATTTTTATTTGCATGGCACAAAGGAAAGAAACCAAATTAGCCACAAAAGGCAAATTTTCTGTAATTACATTTAAGCCGAAGGTGTGTGTGGATATAAAAAGGAAGAGCAATTCCAGCATGCAGATCATGTGCACGGCTAAAATCCCAAATATCCTTTGACTAATGCCACTTGTTATCCTGCCAACAAGTGAGGTGTGAGGTCAACCACCGCCTCCAACTAAGCCGACCCCAATCCCATCGGGCCAAACCATTACCCAACCACAAGGACACCGCCATTCCCATGGCCAATGTCCAATGGTAATCTGTATATTTATATTGTTCTGCACTGGACATTATGCACAAGGATTCCCCAAGTCAGAGCGTCCTCACACAATATATTGTCGTAAAAATATGTTACTTTTTCCCTGCTGCCCGTTGTCCTTTTCTGGCCAGGATACTACTTTGCTTACGCCCCGAGGGAGCTATAAATTTAATATCTACTTTGCAAAACAAAAAACCAAATGGCACAAAAAAGATCCGAGGGAGGATGAGAAAAGACGGTTGGAAATGGGTAAAAGATGGTGAGGATTTGGTCCCCGTTCTTTTGAAGGGTTTCATTTAAATCAACAACTTAGAGTTGCATTATACTACTGGTATAACTATTTGAGATACATTTCGATTCCTTGGCATTACGTGCAGTGCACTTTTCCTAGCCTATAAAAAATTGCGTGAAAACTATGCCAGCCATTTGCACTCGGAAATTGACCCTTAAAAACTTTACACCACCGAGCACTCAGCTGAGAGCTGGAAACATTTTTGCATGTTATATACGCCATAAGAAATGTGTTATGTCCGAACTCCTAATGGACATTTTACGAGCCAGACATGAAATGAAAACACCCTGACACCAAGACACCATCCCCACTTCTTGGTTCAGCACTGTTTGTACTGTCCATTCTGTCTGGGATGACGAGTACGTGTCATTTGCATTTGAGTTTTCTGCTTTGAAGCATTATTAAAAATTAAAAACATATTTTGTTTCTCTTTGCAGTTATGCGGCACATGTCGAACTCTCCCACACCGCCCTCACCACTGCGCTCGCTATCAGGTAAATAAATGTACATATAATATGGCTAATCCTTGGGCAGCATACAGCCGTCATGTCCTTTTTATCCTGCGCCCGACTCGTGGCGGAACGTGGCTACTTTGTGGCTAAATTGATTACTCACACGACAGACAATTTTTATAGTTTTCAGTTTTCCTCTTTTTGCAATATGCAATAAGCCACGCATCCCCTTTCCGCATCCCCTATCCACATTTGGCTCTATATTGAGGGTTTGGCTTAGGTAGTAACTCAGAAGTGCGGCCAAGGACTGCCGAGTTCCTGGTTCTGTTATTGGTAATGAGGCATTCGGTTAGGACACCTATCATATTTATAGGTGCTCTTGGGCAACCAGCACGTGACTGAAGTGTGACCGAGGCTGGGCCAGAAGCCTTTGAGATTGAAAAATAAATTCGAGATCTCGAGGAGGTCGAAGGCTACATGTTTAGCTTCATCATTCAAAAATGTGAAAAAACATGGGCACAAATAGGAAAACCACCTGAAAACTTAATGAACCAAAAATTTTAACACTTTGTAGGAGCTTATCTTAGTAGCAAATTTACTTATTCAAAAGATATATTTTTCAAAACTACTTTAGCTAAAAATAGTTGGATTTATTTATGTATTATACATTTGAGTAGTTTTGGGTCCCAACATTGAAAATAATTGGTATAAACACGCATTCATTATGTGCCTTTGTATAAATTATGCAAGCCTTAACGGCTATTCAACCATTTCCATGGAATGCCACCCAAAATCTGCGCTACCACACCCACCAAAAACTCCCCCGAGAAAACAACCCCCACATGGCAACAAGCTTAAGCCAGAGATCATCCTGGTGAGACCCCTATATGCTCTTTTGACCTCCACCTCCACCTCCCCCGGTGACCCTAACACGACCCTCTTCTGTTCGCAAACAAACAGAAATAACAATTTGTCAAAATGTAAATTTCTGCATTGGCGCATTTAAATGATGGGTCGAGCAATTATGTAAGTACCCCGAAACCAAGGCCAACAACCCCTAACGAAGTGCAACTAATCTATGCAAAAACATGCATGGAAATCCACCCCATTTGAATAAATGCGGCGCATTAAGAGGGTTGCCAATGCCATCCGATAGTAGTTGACAATTAAACTTGCATTTTTATTGGTTTACACAAATTAGGCGAGTCAATCGAGCCCAGGGCGCCCCTAGCCCCTCTCACACCCCTCCTCCTCCTCCCATTATGCATATTCAAATGTTGTCAAAATAATCGGGAGGAGGGAACCCTTTTTTCAAATAAAGGGTTGTTAAACCGCTAAAAAACTCAAGTGCCGTAACATTAGCATCGCACACAAAAAAGGCAAACTGTTGATCCGGCTCAACCCTGTTTAACATATCATTTGAATAGCGCCGAGGTGTGAAGTCGATTGAGGGGGTAACCCTAAGCAAAGGGTTACCCTTGCCACCTCATTTTTTAAGCACCACTTGTTGAGCGATCTCCCCTCGTTCTGGTTATTCAAATTGAAAGGATTTTGGTTGCGTGAAGTTAATTAAGGGGTAATTCCGGAGAGGAAGCGCGAAAAGGATATTACAATCAGCCGCTTTGATTGGGTGCTCTTTATTTATTCGCAGTTCTAAAAACTTTGTTCAGAGGGCGTTTCAAGGGCGTTATTGTGGCATGCAAACAAGTTTAAAAGAGTCGATGGGCGTGACGCGCTCTTGATGAAGGGTTAAGTAAACTTAATGAAGGTGCTTCAGCATTAAATTTAAATAATGGGGAACATAAGAAATCGACTTAAAAAGTACCGATTATTTTGCGAGATTTTATTTCTAGCTACAATATAAGACTATTCAGGAAGTTTCATTTTATTTCTGAAAGTGGTTTTTACTCCCAGCCTGTATGTAGATAAACAGCTTGCGATATGCAAGCATAATTGGATTGCCCTGAATCACCCTTCTCGCATCTTTCAGTGCACTTTCCGAATTTTCGGTTGTATCTTTCCGATAAATCGAAACGCACTTTACATGCCCTTTTATGGCATAGAGGCAAAAGCAACCCCTAAATACTGCATGCAAAAGGAGTACCCAGAATTTCAGAAAATTTGGAGTTTTCAAATAGAGGCAACACTTCATTTGTCAGTGGAAACATTCACACATTGCCATTGTGGCTGGACGAGGAACGGGCATTCACCATGTAGTCCTCATCAGCAGGATAACACATCTGCCCCGGCGACAGACAAAGCGGCATCACCTGGTTTTGGGTTTCGAAAAAATCGAGTTTCGATGCTCGTGGATCGCTCGCTGCAGGCGCATTGCACTTACAAAGGATCACAACAGTGGTTTGAACTTGCTCGCGAGGCTTCTTGACTTGCCTCCTTTCTTTCCTTTTTTTTGAAGCCAAACAATGCAACTTGGAACCCTTTCCTCCACTTGGAAATCTCCACCCAATGGCGAGATGCATTCGGTTCTAATCCGCAACTCGTGCATTCGAAATTGTAACGAATTTTAAATTCGCAACTGCGCTGCCGGCGGAGGGTTGAAAACGCAAAGCAAAAAGGGTGACAAATTTTTGACTATGCCTAACCCTTGGATGATTTTCATTTCTGACTGGTTCCAATACATTTTCAATGGCTAATTTTATTACGGCGTATTCAACTTTCGCCGTTCTACATAAAGGGAGTCATAAAAACAGCTGCCCACATGCAATTTATTTTGCAAAGTTCAAACGCCCGCATTGGATATACTCGTATATTTTTGGAAACATTTCCTAATCCGCTGAATCGAGTTTAACATGGGGTTGAATCCGCTTAAAACTATCAATACTCTTTATTTCGAAATCGGTTTAACATTTTTTACAGTTCAGACAAATGTTTGAAAGTTGATTTTTGATGGACCGAAAGCGGAAAAGTGCTATAAATGTGCTATAAATAGAGAAGCTTTTATATTATCGAATCGATCGCGAGACCTTTGATCATATTTCTCCAGTCGGAAGTTAAATACTCATTATTATATTTCCCATCAAAATCAATAATTCTCTTTTAAGAAATTATGAAATCTGAGCTCCTTTCGCTGCTCTACTGCGCATTTATCGGAGACAAAGGAGCAAGCATCCTGTTTGACTCCGCCGTGGCCTCTGATGTATGGCTATTTTTCAATTATTATGCATGGTTGGGTTTTCAACAAGGATGTTGGGGTATGTCGAAGGTTAATGGGGGAGTGGAGGCCACAAAGGAGAACCCTTCCGCCTGAGCGTCTATCGCAGCTAACCGCAGGACGCAGACATTGGACAGGATAGCTGGGAAAGGATGGGCATTCGATTGGAAGATTGAATAAAATTTGACTTAAAAAGGCTGAGGAGAAAATGTTTACCGAAAGACGGTGGATGAATACACTTTGTGCGTGAATAGAAAAGCCCTAAAAGGGATTCGGGAAATACATATTACATTATTTTCTTAAAAACTCCTATTTAAATTAAAAGTAATTAATTTGCTTAGCCCGCTAGACGGGCTTTTTCGGTATTTATTTTTCTCCTTTCAAGCCAGATTTCAAATGCATGAAACCCTTGAAATACCCTTTCAAATACCCTTTCAAATAGCTGCAGAAATATTGAAAAACTTGCAGTGTCTTTTGGTTAAAATCAAATTATGCCACGCGTGCGTTGACCAGTCCGGCTACTTGAACTTCATTGAGTTGGAAAATTGAAAAGCAAACTACCCACAATCATCTACTATAAAAAATATCCTTTTCCCTTACTTACAGACTGCGGCAAGAGCTTCGAGGAGGAAGAACTGGAGCTGGGCGAGAACGGCGAGATGCCACAGAACCTGAGCAGCAAGCGCCAGGCCAGGGAACTGGATTCTGAGCTGGAAAACGAGGTCCTGGACCTGGCTCCGCCACCGAAGAGATTGGCGGAAGCCCACTTGCAGGAGGAGCGGGAGGAGGAAAAGGTAGCCAGCGCCAATCCAGCACAGGCCTTGGGATTTGCGCCGGAGGAGATGCATCAGGCGCTGCAACTGCAGTTGCACAGCTACATAGAAATGGTTCGCCAATTGGCGCCGGAGGCCTTTCCCAATCCCAACCTGGCCACGCAGTTCCTGCTGCAGAACTCCCTGCAAGCCTTGGCGCAGTTTCAGGCCCTGCAGCAGATGAAGCAGCAGCAGAGGGAGGATCCTCTGCCCAGTTACTCCACCCCCCTAACCAAATCACCTTTGAGAAGTCCCTCCCTGAGTCCGGTGCCCAGGCACAGCAAGTCCCAGCAGCGAACTCCGCCAAACTCGATGTCTGCCAATTCCCTGGGACTGAGCAGTGCCGTGATGACTCCCAATACGCCCAGCATGCAGCAGCAGCCGCAGCAGCAGCAGAGCACTCCCAAGCCCACGAGTGGACTAACTGTGGCATCCGCCATGGCCAAGCTGGAGCAATCGCCGGAGGAGACCACCGATCTGGAGGAGCTGGAGCAGTTCGCCAAGACCTTCAAGCAGCGGAGAATCAAGCTGGGCTTCACCCAGGGCGATGTGGGTCTGGCCATGGGCAAGCTGTACGGCAATGACTTCTCGCAGACCACGATTTCCCGCTTCGAAGCCCTCAATCTGAGCTTCAAGAACATGTGCAAGCTGAAGCCGCTGCTCCAGAAATGGCTGGAGGATGCGGACAGCACAGTGGCCAAGTCGGGCGGCGGAGTGTTCAACATCAACACGATGACCAGCACACTGAGCAGCACGCCGGAAAGCATCCTGGGACGCAGGCGGAAGAAGCGCACCTCCATCGAGACCACGGTGCGGACCACGCTGGAGAAGGCCTTCCTGATGAACTGCAAGCCCACGTCGGAGGAGATCAGCCAGCTGTCGGAGCGCCTGAACATGGACAAGGAGGTGATCCGGGTGTGGTTCTGCAATCGCCGCCAGAAGGAGAAGCGCATCAATCCCTCACTGGATCTGGACAGTCCCACGGGCACTCCACTGAGCAGTCACGCCTTTGGGTATCCACCCCAGGCTCTGAACATGTCCCACATGCAAATGGAGGCCGGATCGGGCTCCTTCTGCGGCAGCTCCATCAGTTCCGGGGAATAGGAGAAGCGGGATTACCGTGGAAGTCCATCCATCCAATCTTGTACATAGTCAGCTTATACTCCAAATTCTTCCACAACATTCCACACGCCACTCTCTCTCCATATCAAATGCAAACAATGCCATGGATGTATTTAGTAAACTAGGTGATAGCCAGTCGTATCAGAAAATCCATTACGAATTTATGAGTACATATAGCTCCACTACACTACCTATTCGTGTCTGTATGCATATAGAGTTCCTAGTTCTAACTATTCCCCAAATGCCATACGTGTATCTGTTGTGCCCCCATATCCACTATGCCACAAATCAGTCCCCTAGTTGTATTTACGAGTAATGTGTATTGACTTAGATGTGTATGTATACCGATGTTGTTGTACGATGTCCAATTGTAAATTGATCTTGAACACACTTAGATCGTAACATTCGAAAATTTCAATAAAATTATTCCGATAAAATAATTTATACAAAACGATATACTGTCTTTTAATATTGGGTGCAAGCCATGATCAAACTTATGTAGATCCAATTCGAGATATACAGTCTAGCACCACCTCGTTTAATTTGTTATTAAATAGTATTTAGTTAGATTAAATTGTACTAATATATTTAAAGATCTGTCATGTTTTTGAAACGCCCTAGCTTATTTTTCAATTAGCCAGCGCTTAGGATTTGCACTCGAATCTCATTAGGCAGCGCCTAAATAAATATTGAACGAGGTATTTAGTTAACTGATTTCCTTGGCCCGCTCCAAAAGCGTTTGCCAGCCACGCGACAAAGGCAAACAAGACCATTTTTTAATAAACTTCCTGGCAAACGCGGGCCAGCACAGCAAAGGATGCGAAGGATGCGAAGGACCCACACCAGCAACCCCTTTTTCCATGTTCGGCTTGGTTGTCGAGTGTGGATTTGCTGGATAAGAAATCACTTCATCTTTTTGGGCCCGGCGACAGTCAATATGGCAGCCAGAGCCCGGACAGAACCCTTATTTGTATATCGAGGCAAGCGTGTAAATCCTTTTTTATCAACCCCAACCCCCGATCCCTCAGCCCGGATTGCCTGCCCCTGCTCCCAAAAGTTTGCCGGGTTCTGATTCGTTTAGGGCACGAATCTCTAAAAAATGATAGAGTTGGGGAAGTTGGCAAAGGGTTCATGCCATCAATTCACACATGGTTATGTCATATGCTCCTGGCCTCGGTGGTTGATTTTGGTCGTGTACTGGCTGCAGCTCCTGTTGTTTGCTGTTTCGGGAATCCGATGTGGGCAGTGGAAGTATTTCATGTTGTCCCAGTTGTATCCTTTGGAAATCGCTTAAGCGAGTCAAGTCCTCGATGGAGATATCTTAATGGAGGTGTGCCCATAAATTAGGTAAATGATTGTGGAAAGGAGTGGAAAGGACACATGTGCTTAGCACTGGCTTTTGTCTTTTTTAAAGCTGGATAAATATTATTGAGTAATATTTGCTATGCATTTTAGGAAAGCTCAAAAATATCCTCAATATGTCTTTTACATATTGATATTATAGGGGTACTCCAAATTCGATTTTAATAAAGTGTTCTATGATATTAAATAATTTCACATTCAGGCACTCTAGTTCCTCACCGATATTTATTCAAAACCTGCAGACTTACTTGCCTGCAACTGACTGGAGTTGCGAATAAATTTTTAATCTGGCCAGAAGTGAAATCTCGACCAGAATGCCTACCCCATTTAATTTGCAGGCCATTCGCCCACACTCGAGCACACATCAAACGGAGGCCAAAGGAATAGCCCATCGATGCCAGCACTCACACTTAATTGGCGAATTGGCGAGCACTCGAATCTCGGGAAGCTCGGGAAGCCTGGGGCTTGGGACTCTTTCAATGTTATCAGTCCAGTGCAGACGACGTACGTCCATTCCACATGGCCAAAATGTAAAGAATGGCTTTGAGCAATTTCAGGTTTTCAATGGGGGACGGAAACTTCAATTGCATTGGTCATATTCAAAGTGCCCTAAGCCTGAGCTGGTCCAAGTGGGTTGATAAGCCCCGTGGGCTATTATTCAGGGGATTCCCCCGGTGGTTGCAGATCGTCCGGTCGAGATTTCATTCGGGCTTCGTTTGATCGATTTCCTTTCTGTTTGGCGGACGGCAAACATTTGCTGCATTTGCAAATTGAATTTTTGTAGCCGGAATATGTTTCATTCTCATTTCGCCCGGTTCATTTATAACAATTTAATGAAATTTTCGAATGCGTTTTCATAATATTGTCGTGGTCCTGCCATCATTAATCACTCGCCACTTGGCAGGACTAACGAAAATTAAGTTTCCTTTATGCTTTTGCTGCAGCATTTCTATTCTTGTTGCTCATTTCGGTGTTGCCCCCTTGAGTGGCATGAACTAGATGAAAGTATTTCGTTGAACTGAGCTCTTAAATGCTTGGACCATTAACTAAACACTTGAAATCTTTTTTCCAATGGAAATGGATTATTTATTTCCTGAAATAATAATAAGAATTGTAGATACAAGTTATGGAAGATATAAATAGATAAGGTAAGAAATCCCTAAGCACACTATTAAACTTAAGATTTTGCAACCTTTTTGATTTATTGCATATTCCTTTGTTCAATCTGCTAGATACTCGAGCGCTAAGATATAGCAGACACTGGCAATTTCAGTTGAGTTCAGTTTGGCGAAATGAAAAGTGCTCGCAAATTATATGGCGAACATATGTTAAATTTCTGCGTGACTGGCTGACAATTTGGTGCTTTGAATTTCAATTCGTCTAGCAAAAAGAAATGTAACAAGGACACACAGGACTCACAGGACACACCCCTTTGCGCCCTTTTCGCCCTTTTCGCCCGAGTGGAGAACATAAGACTTGTGCAAACATTTGGGCGAAAACAACAGCAGCGCGGGGGAAAACACAATTGAATTACAATGAAAATATGAAATGAGCAAAAAGCAGATGAAGAAAATCGCATACAGAAATTAAGCAAACAGGCGAAACAAAGGAAAAACCCCCGAAATAAAAAGTTTCAAAAGTGTGGGCCACTGGCTCTGGCAAATAGCTCGGGAAAAAAGCGCAAATTCAATATTTGCTCAAGAAAGAAATGGGAACGAGGACGTGGAACGGCGATGCCCCAAGACAGTCGAGCAAACAGCTAAAAAATATAAAAGTTGCGAAAATAGAATAAATAACTAAAATGGGAGCTGCTCAAATCGAATGAGTTGATACCCTACATGGACGTAAGCTTAGTTCATTCTTTTGGCTGGCTAAAATGTAGGCTTGAGATTGGTACTCTTAATACCTCGGAAAAATGTATTAACTATTTCTACAGTTGGGATTACAAAAATGAGCCAACAATGATCCTATGTAATCATCATATATATCTCATTCAAAAACATGGAATATGCTTCACCTTAAACGTAAATCGAAGAAAGGGAGCGCTGGCTTTTCCACCCTCTGCAAGCCAAAATGGAAACACAAATCAATGGCTGCTGGGGAAACAAACTTTAAAATGGAAATTTGCATGCGAAACCCGGTAAACTGGTGGAAAACCACCACCCAAACTTTTCATCAGCCAATTAGCGGAATAGCTTTTATTTGAGGGCTAAAAAATCAAAGCCAATCAAGGGCGTGATCCGAAATCAACACCATCTCGGCCATCATCACCTAGATGGGTGGTGGAAGATAGTGGGCTGGCAAACTTGATCCCTTTGACATGTTTACACATTTAATTAACTTACACGCGCCGAAAGTTTCCGGACACGATAGATAGTCCCCGTCTAATCACACCCAAGCGAAAACCCCGCCCGCATGAAGTTCCAAAATGGGGCTAAGAAAACAAAAGGATAAAGACCCTTTCGCAACCCAACCCCTAAGTCTTCCTTTTTGTCAATTTGAAACCAGTTCAAGTGGTTTAATCATTTAACGCACATCATAAAAATCGCATCAAGTGATTTTTATTTACACGCCCAGGACGAAAAGGACCCCCAAAACTACAATGATTGGGGCGGGGGTGCGAAGTGGTTGGGGCTGAGCTATCCCTTTGAAACCCAAGGTGGTGGCTGAAAACGAGTAAAATGAGCTGCACACTGGATAAGGATTCTGTTAGTTGATAAACTTTTAGGCTGTACTATATTGCAAAGCTTGTTAGATATAGGTTATGAAAATACATATCCACAAATGCATATATATTCCTGTTAAGACTCACAATTTTCATAAATACTGTATTAGGTTTGAATCAAACATTTATAAAACAAAATCTGGTATGATAGTTTCATAATCTTATAATTTTCCGGACTGGGAAACCATAATTCCTATGCAAATAAAATGCTCCCAAGTCCAATTTGTCCTCAACTTAGGAGAATGGACAATTATATTCCCATAAGTCCGAAATTAAAATCAAGTTTTTATGTGGGTTAGCGAAGTATTTAATCATTTAGTTTTATTTTTAAATACATGTTAAGCTGGTGAGGCGTAGTGTATATGTGAATTTTATTCAAAATTTAATGCGCAACCGCATAATGGGTATAAGATGTGAGGCTTTAGATGAATTTGCGTGAAGATTGATCTTGATCAGCGACAGACAACCGTAAAATCCGGGTCACACTGCTTAACTGAAGGTGTTGACCTGAGAACAAATGAGCACAGTGATTAGCAATCAATTTAGTCAATCAATCAATTCGTGTATCACTTACAATATCGTCGATCTTCAAGATAGAGCGAATCGTCTCGGTGGCCAGGGTGATCGACGAAATACTGACCAGCAGCGGTTGCACCACGTTCTCCGCAAAAATGTCTGTGATGGCGCCCTTGCGCACATTAATACCGGCGTTCTTCTCACCCTGAGCGTGGCGGTTGCGCAGCTCCGTGACCGTGGCAATGGGATTTAAGCCGGCGTTCTCAGCCAGCGTCGAAGGAATCACCTCCAAGGCATCGGCAAATGCGCGGAAGCAATACGCATCCACACCCTCCACTGTTTGAGCCAATGCGGCCAGCTGCAGGGCCATCTCAATCTCCGGCGCACCACCGCCCACAATCTGGGCGCGCAGCTTCACCAGGCAACGCACGACACAGAGGGCATCGTGCAGGGAGCGAGCAGCCTCCTCGAGCACCAGCTTGTTGGATCCGCGGCAGATGATCGAGACCGTGCGTCCCATGTTCTGGATACCGGTGATCTTCACAAACTTGTTGGTGCCACTGGCCACCTCCTCAACCAGATCGGCACTAGACAGGTTTTCGGCTGTGAAGTGATCGAGCGAAGCGATCGGACGGCAGTGGAGGGTCTTGCACACGAACTCAATATCCTCGCGCTCCACATCCTTGACCACCAAGCACTTGATCTTGTCCAGGAAGTGCTGGGCCAGATCAGAGACGGCATCGCTAAATAAATGGGGAACTATCAGCACAAAGTGGATAAAACACAAGTGATCTAAACCTACCGCAGGATAGACTTCTGAACTAGAAGAACATTGCATCCGGACTTCTTGATCTGCTTCACAATGTTCAGGATGTATGAACGCTCCTCCTTCAGCACACGATCCATGGCAGCGTAGTCAGACACAATCACATTGTGATCCATCTGTAATTTCAAGTTTACTTGTTGAGAACAATGAAACAATTGTATGGATCATCGCGTAATACTCACATCGGTCTTGGGGGCCGAAATGCAGAACTGGATAAGACCGATCTTGGCCTTCTCGATGCGCTTGGGAGCGTTGGATCCGGCAGAGCGGCAGGTGAAGACCAATCCATCGACCAGCTCGGTGTCCTCAACGGTGCCACCCAGGCTGGAGATAACCTTGATGTTCTTGAGATCCACAGAGGTCTCCTTGCCGGGATCCGTGACCTTAAGCACGGCATCAACGGCAATGGGGGCCAGCAGGCTGCTCTGCTGCGACACCACCTTGGAGTTCAGCGAAGTGGAGGCGCTCTTGATCAGCGTCTCGCGGTCGTCCAGCTCAATGGGCGTGGACATCTGTTTCAGGATCTCTACGGCCTTGTTCGAGCAGCGCTGGAACGAGTCCGAGATGGCCGTGGGGTGCAGACCCTTCTGCAGCAACTTCTCACAGGCCTCCAGCAGGGCGCCGGCAATGACAACCACGGAGGTGGTACCGTCACCAGCGGCCACATCCTGGGCGCGGGACAGCTCCACCAGCATCTTGGCGGCCGGGTGCAGCACGTTCATCTGCTTCAGGATGGTGGCTCCATCGTTGGTGATGGACACTTCGCCGTTGCCGGCCTGGATCATCTTGTCCATGCCTCGGGGGCCCAGACTGGTGCGGATGGCATCGGAAACGGCTGGAAGGCACAAGTATTTCAATCAGTTACTTAGTATTTTGATTATGTTACACCTAACGGAGACACTAAGCTAAGTGGAGTTCATGTGCTTAGTTTCACACAAAAAACTCCAAAACGGCATGACTAATTTACATACATATGTACATAAATGTGTACATACAACAGCAGACAGATGGTCTAACGTGTGTTAATTTAGCAATCTGCAATGGAACTCATATTAAAAGGTAAGCAACAAAATCCTTATAGCAGCCAAAGGACCTCTCAAAAGGGTATTAGAAAACCTCAATTTTTAGGTTGCTTCAATTCATCACATGAGTAATGCTCGCTTCTTCTTCTTCCGCCCAAGAAGTTTCCAGACAGCCGGCATCCAACTGCTTTTTCAATAGACCATTTGCAGGAATTTCTAGAGAGGCATTGCTCCGAATTGAATGAACATGGGTCGTAGCTCAATAAATAGCATATCCACCAACAATTTTCTACACAAAAGTGCATAGTTTTGTCAATTTGCTCGCATTTTCTCACCTTTGGCCGCCTGGATGTTGGACAAACGCACATCGGTGGGCTTCGACTTGTCCTTGAAGGCCTTGGCCGTTGGCTTGATGTTGACCGTTTTTGCCTTGGGCGCCATTGTAGGGTTAAGTTATGGTTGTTAACAAAACACAGTTATTCTACAATAAATTCACAGCGATTTACACAGAACACGTTGCTGCGAAATGTTAAGGAAAGTGTGGCCGCACTCGGTGAGCTTAAATACACCGCCAACTTGTTTTATCGATTCTTATCGAGTGCTATATCTTTGCCCGTGAATGGCAATTTCGGGTGACCGTATTCTCCGTAGTGACTCGGCTGGTTTATTTACATTCAATTTTTGTTTGGTTTTTGAACTTGAAATTGAAATAATGCCGCACGGACACTCGCACGATCACGGCGGCTGCAGCCATGAGGCCTCGGACGTGGACCACGCCCTGGAAATGGGCATTGAGTACAGCCTGTACACGAAAATCGATCTGGACAACGTGGAGTGCCTGAACGAGGAGACGGAGGGCCAGGGCAAAAGTGTCTTCAAGCCCTACGAGAAGCGCCAGGATCTCTCCAAGTACGTGGAGAGCGATGGCGACGAGGAGCTCCTCTTCAACATTCCCTTCACCGGCAACATCAAGCTCAAGGGAATCATCATAAGTGGGGCCAACGATGACTCCCACCCAAACATGGTCAAAATGTAAGGAACAGCAGTCAAGGTGGCTCCTTGAACATAAATACCATAATATTACTATAACAATATCCATATTCAATATGCTACCATTCAACTACTGTCATAATATTAAGTTCTAAAAAAGATAGCCGCTTACTAATGTAAATTAGTTTGTCTAAGTAAGACGATGGGTTTCATTAGACGTCCGATTCCTATTCATATGTCTTATTTTTCAGCTTTAAGAACCGACCCAGGATGACCTTCGACGATGCCAAAGCCAAACCCGACCAGGAGTTCCACCTGACTCGCGATGCCCGTGGAGAAATCGAGTACTCGCCCAAAGTGGTCACCTTCTCCTCCGTGCACCATCTCTCCCTGTACTTTCCCAGTAACTTTGGCGAAGACAGTACACGCATTTACTATATAGGTAAGGGCACACAATCTATGTTTAGTTACCATCTAACAGCAAGTCGCTATCCGAAGGTCTTCGAGGAGAGTTCACGGAAGCTCATTATCATGGCGTAACCATATGTAACTACGAAGCGCGTGCCAATGCAGCGGATCACAAGGAAAAGGCATTCGATGGAGTGGGCAGAGCCATCCAGTAAGCCAGTAAGGATATAGAGATAACAAGTGCGCAATTTAATTGAGTATCTCTGTAAAGTATATTTTGTGATCATTTAAGGCAAGAAATGTATTTGTATTAGCTTAACATATTGAGCATTTGTATTGCACTAAGCGTATTGCGTGGGTGGAACCACGTCGGGTCCGATCTTCATGCCAATATTGGGCACTTTATCCGAATGGATTTCAGCCGTGACCTCGGTGAACAGCTTGTCCCACTGCCAGAGATCATCTTTCTCGTTAAGGCTCTCCTGTGGAACCAGGCAATCGGTAAGGATTGAGAGATCGAAGCCATCCACAGCCGAAAATGCGTACTGGGAGAGCAAATCGGAATTCGCCTCCTTCAAGACGGCGGATCGCGAAGTGCCGATACTGAAATTATGCCTAATTATTGTTGTGGACAGAATTAACCAGGACAGGCTTACGCAGGCGGTTCCACAATCTCATTGAGCATGATTTCGTCCTTGACATCATCCATATCTGGAATGACGGGAATGTCATCCGTTGGTATGGAATTTGTAGCCGACTTTGTTTGCCTAAAACGCTCACTAAAAAAAACGAATTGCTACAAGAGTGTCGTATAACCCTAAGCTTTCCCATACTTACTCGTCAAACGAGTTCTTCTTGGACCTATAAAGATATGGGCAATCAGTAAAGTGCCTAAAGAGGTCAATCATACCCACTTTAATCCCTTGAATCCGGAATCCGCCCAGCCACCCGAAATGCGACGAATGGGTGGTCGATGGGACTCGAATTCATTGTTGTATGTGGACGAGGTGGCCGTGTCCGAGGTGGTGGGTGGGGTACCCGCCTGGACATTCAGAGTGATGTCGATGGAGATGTCCTTGGAGCCACCGGCCGCCTGGGAATCCTCCTCCTTCAGAACATCGCGACTCTTAGAGCGCCGACCTTTCCTGGCCGTCGTCTAGGGTGGAAAATATATCGAATCTTTAATATGCACCCATTTAAACACACTTTCTCACCTTTCTTATGGTCATCTTGAGTTCTTCAGCCCAGTCCATCATCTTTTGTTTACGTTTTTGCTCAGCGTTTCCTAGGCAACAAGTGGTCATGGTTACTCCGTGGGAATGTCCAAGTTAACTCCCGGAGCTTGCCATTCGCCCCGCGATGCGATAGTTTTCAAATCAGTTACCTATCGCCGATGACAGTTGGAGGAGGAGCTTCAAGTTGCCAAAATAAACAAATACCTATTTTTTAATAGCGGAAAATGCTGACGGACACGGAGGATGACTTCTTCTTCGAGGAGGATAAGATGTAAGTGTCCATTGAAACCAGTTTGTTGCTGAAATACCGCCGTCCAGCTTTATTTGCGCACAACAATCTGTTGCGATGTGCCGAAGAGTAACTGTTAAAAATCAATAATCGCCACAACTGAAACATATTGTTGGAATCAGGCCAGAACCGCTGCTCATCCAGTTGGATGGGGATGGTGCTCAGGCTGTCCGGCGGCACAAGGATCGCCCGGAGCAGCTGGAGCCTTACTCCGCCTCCGCCGCTCCCAACGAGGCCACCGTTATGCTCTGCTCCCCGGCGGGCTTCTCCTCCGATTCCGCATCCGGGGACAGGTTCGGCATCGAGTCCGCCAGTAGGCAGAAGTATGAGTTAGACCGTTTGTAAGTCAACTCCGTTGACCCGGAACCGTTCCAATACTACATATTTCCTGTGGAAGCTCTGTTTTCTAAATTATGGCTTTTATAGTCCTGTAGTTTCTAAAAAAATTTTCTCACACTTGATTTTTTCTTCGATACTCCATTCTTTTAAGTTAATAAATTGGTGTATTTCGGGAACAATAACATATAATTTTTAAAATATTACGTTTGAGTAGCCATTTAAATCAAAATTATTTTGACACATTTCTGTAATTAACGATTTTACATTTGATATTAATGCAATTACATTTTTTTCTGTATTATTGTTTCCTTTTTCAAAGAGCGACCACAGTACTATAGCCTTTTGTTGTACAGTAAGCCCTACGGAATTAGAACTAACGAAATTTTTATTTTTATAGTTTTTTAATTCCACCAAAAAAGGACAGATATGAATTTTCTTTGTAGAGCTTTAGCTGCTTATACGTAACATTATAGCCTATAACTAGGCTAGCTAGTAACAAACTATATTGAATTCGAGGCGTCCTTTGGCTTTCCAAGTCCCATCCTTCGAAATCGATAGTATCACCAAGTCTTTGAATAAACTGCCCCGATCAACAGTTTTCCCAAACAGCCTAAGGTAAACTTGATATAGTACAATGGCCTTGCTAGAACTGGTAACATGGCTAGTTAGAAAATCGCACCGATCGATGTACGTATGGAAAACTGATATGAAATCACCCACATGTAACCATATACTTCAAGTCATGTAGCACGCGTAGATAACGCTTTAAACTATATCTCAATTGTATAAACTAATATCTTAACCCTCTACTAACCTTCATTCAGGGGCATGACTGTCAGCACGAATGCTGTCGTCATCACAAAGGATCAGAGCAACCTGATTGGCATTAGCATTGGCGGTGGAGCACCCATGTGTCCATGTCTGTATATTGTTCAGGTAAGTGTGATCTTCAGCTTCCGCAAACAGCTTTATTTTCAAATTTGATTTGCAATATTACTTATAGGCTCCCTGAGAGCCTACTCCAGTGGTGACCCTTGTTTGCTTCCAGGGATTCGGTGTAGCCCGGAAATTTGTCATTTTGCGTAGCTTGAAAAACTCGCTCCTTTCCCGAGCATACCAATCGCTGGCCAGCTGTTCCATCCGCAGATCCATCCGTATCCTTTTCCTCTCGTCATACAGTTGGCGGCTCAGAGCCCGTGCCGACGTATGGAGACGAAAAGGTTTTGGATGGGTGTAGGAGGACCTGACATGCGGTGTAAAGGGCTGACGGTTGAGGTAGTCCATGGAAGATCCTGGATTGATTCGGGGTATAAAGTCGGATGTCTTTCGGCACTGCATTCGCTTCTTTGGACGGCTGTTTGGCGGCTTCATGGGCATGGCCAGGGTGCCAGGGCACCGGGGCTTGGTCACCTTTTGCAGAGAGTTCAGGTACAACCGGCGCCTTTCCAATCGCCGATGAGATCGCTCAAAATCGGGCACAGGTCTGCTTCGGAACTGGAACGCATTTTGCGTGTTGGCAAACCGCTTTAGCTCCTTGCGTTTCTCGGCGTAAACCTTCTGAAACTCGCATACCCGTGGAGTCTGCATCTTGGTCCTCTTTAGCTTCTTGGGCTTTCTCTTGTCTTGGACACCACCCGCCTGTTTTCGCTTACGCTGATGCTTTTCCAAGTCTTGCTCCTGAAGAGCTGCCTTCACCCTCTCATCCAACTGGTCGAATCCCGGAATCAACTTGGGTCTGGCATAGGACTCATTGCTAGAATCGGCAACGGACCAATTATACCAGTTGGCGATGGTCATAATTCGGCTAACCAAATCGGTTTCAGTTGCTAGGGACTAACCTTAAACGATAATTTTGAAACTTAAAGTTATGACTACTATTAGCTTGGTTTTATAAAAATGTGTACTGTATGATTTACAACCATGATTTACAAACTATAATCAATCGCTTGCCAAAAAATACAATACTATAATGCCATATGTTTTGAACACTAGATCTTTGATGGAACACCCGCTGCTCGGGAGGGATCCCTGCAATCCGGAGATGAACTGTTGGCTGTGAACTCGGTGAGCGTGAAGGGCAAGACGAAGGTAGAGGTGGCCAAGATGATCCAGACGGCCACTGACGAAGTGGTAATCCATTACAACAAGCTGCACGCCGATCCCGAACAGGGCAAGACGCTGGACATCATCCTTAAGAAGCTGAAGCATCGGATTGTGGACAATTTGTCGAGCAATACGGCGGATACTCTGGGTCTCTCGCGCGCGATACTATGCAATGATTCGCTGGTCAAGCGACTGGAGGAGCTGGAGGGCACTGAATTGATGTACAAGGGTCTCGTAGAGCATGCCCGCCGGATGCTCAAGGCCTACTACGATCTCCTGCAGACATATAAATCCTTTGGCGATTGCTTCACCCAAATATCGGTCCATGAACCGCAACAGCGGGCATCGGAGGCGTTTCGAACATTCGGCGAGTTCCATCGCACCTTGGAGAAGGATGGCCTGGGCATCATCAAACAGATCAAGCCAGTGTTGGCCGATCTGGGAACGTATCTGAATAAAGCCATTCCGGACACAAAGCTCACGGTACGACGCTATGCGGATGCCAAGTTCACATATCTTTCGTACTGCCTGAAGGTCAAGGAGATGGATGATGAGGAGCATGGCTTTGCTGCCCTGCAGGAGCCACTTTATCGCGTCGAGACGGGCAACTATGAGTACCGCTTGATTCTGAGATGTCGCCAGGATGCACGCAGCAAATTCGCCAAACTCCGCACCGATGTTCTCGAAAAGATGGAGCTGCTGGAATGCAAACATGCCATGGATCTGAACAAGCAGCTGCGAAGCCTGCTGGAAAGTTTGGCCGAACTTCACAGGAGTTTGGTGGACCGACTGGACTCCCTACCGCCGCTCTTTCCCATTGAAGTGGACTTCAAGGAGACGGACTTTCAGTACAAGTCCAGCACTCTGAAGCCGCAGGAGCTGGACGACGATGAAATCGAGGCCAACAATCATCCCCATTCCGCTCCTTCGCAAGTCGATTGCGGCTTCGAGGCTGTGGAGCAGCCGGCGGCAATTATAAACGTGGAGCCCAAGGCGTCTGTTGATTCGTCCACCTTCCCATCCACCAGCGAGAACGAGACGCTGCTCAAGGAACTGGGCCTGTACGACGTGGACCTGCTCTCCAATCCGCAGACCATTAGCAATCAAAAGGACTCCATTGCTGCCCAGAATGATGGCTACGACTTCGACTTGTTTCTAAACCAGGCGACTGCAGCCACCACCAGTTTGGAGCGCGATCTGATGTCCTCGAATGCGGAGGAGATGGATCTACTCCTGCAATAAGCTCCTTAGTACAAATATTAAGAATTGCTTTAGAGAAATATTAAATGTTTCAGTATTTTGTGAAGATATCAAAGAATATATATAGTCTTTGAATTCAATAGGATAAAAGTTGCTACGAATGTTCACGTATATTCTTTATCGTACAGTTTACATTTATGAAAACCAAATTCTTTGTTCTAGCAAATATCTTACTTATATTTTGTTTGTTTGTACTTTTTGTTTAAATATATTTGTTGTACAGCATGGAATAAATAAGATAGTTTCCTATTTTGAATTATTAACAATCCAGTATGTATGATTTACAGGAAATATTGTCCTGTTGGAATTGTCTAAAATGGTATAATATCTTACGTTAAAGTAACCACATTTTCCGCACTTGCCTTGTTATTCGTGCAAAACAATTTCGCGCAGATAGACCCAATTATAGATATTCCACCCAAAACCAAAAAATAGCTACCGTAAACGACGTACTGATCCCGCGGCTCCAGAGCGAACCCAACTCGCTCCACAACCGCAATGGTCAGAATGGTCTGGAGCATTAGACCCACCAACGTGTTAATACCGAAGATCAAGCCAAAACTGTCCTCCACCAGATTCTCGGCCACCACGGCACCCGCCACCGTGATGATGAAGAAGAATACGGCGCAGAAGAGAACATAGTTCACATAGGCCACCCAGATCTCCTCCGTCCTGGCAGCATAGATGAGCAGGGCGCCCAGGGCAGCGGCACAGATGGATATGCCCGTCATGTAGGACCTGCGTCGCTTATTCGAGTTCAGCAAGCCGGCCAGAATGGCTCCGATCGCTCCAAGCAGCGTGGCCACGGCCTCCACTCCGCCATTGTATACGCTTAGGTGATTCGGGGCCACTTCCTTCCACAGGAACTGGATGTAGGAGATCACCTGGAGAAGCATATATAATATGAATAATAATTAATATTGCAATAAGCCCCCAACTTACTTGAACTTGACCGCACGTGGCCAGTGCCCACCAGATACTCCACTGGAGCACCACGGGATTCGAGTAGGAACTGACCAGGTGGTACCACAGCAATCGGCAGGCGTTGGGGAAGGAGAACTTCGCAGCGGTCTCGTCTCGGCCGGGAGGGGGATTCTTTTCGAAATCCGTGTAGAAGTAGAGGCTCCGCGGCACACTGGGCAGGAATAGGGACACGGCCAGGGAGATCAACTGCGTGGCCAGCGATAGGTAATGCAGCTGCCGGTAGTCCATGCTGTCGGTGGACACCAATATCTGGGCAAACAGGCCGCCGAGGAACTTGCCGCTCAAGATGGCAGCTCTCGTGTGGCCAGTGACCACCTGATACTGCTCCTTGTTGACCTTGGCGTACATGTATGTGTAGTAGGCCACCTCCGCGGCCGTGAATGTGCCAAAAAACACTTGTGCCAGCTGCAACATTCTCACGCTCTCCGTCCAGATAAGCATGGAAAACAGGGCAATCCCAGCCAGTGCCGACAGTACGATAACCGGTTTGTACCTCACCAGATCTGTGATGAGGAACACAATGACCAGCTGGGCCAGCACCGAGTAGGTGCCAAAGGGATACACATCCTGGTATATCTGATCCGTGGTCAGGTTGCCATAATCCGAGGCCAGGTACTCCGTGACGTACGGCTCCGAGGGTCGAAACTCCCGGAAAAAGCCAAACGTGCACAGCAGCAGCGAGATCTTCAGCCAGCTCTTCATGTCGTAAATCGCGATACCAGGTGGGCTATGCGTATGGAAGCTCCAAGCCCCAAGCTCCAAGCTGCTCCGGCGACAGATGTTTCGCCAACTAATTAGTGTCGTAACCAACGCGACGAACGCCAGCCGGCAACTGATCGCGCGAATTAAGAGCGCAAGGTATCCCATCGCTCTCCGCCAAAGCGACTACAGTGGTGGCCAGCAGTATCCACACACAACAACCGGAAGACTAGAATCTAATCTGAATCTTTAAGGGGTTGGAGAACTATCATCACAAGGCAATACGATAAATGTAAGAGGATTTTCAAAGATTATTTGAGTTAATAATATATAACAATATATTAACACAAGAACATCTTTTCATTTTTAATTTAGAAATAAAAATCTATCATATCTAATCATGTATCTATCATAATCTATCATATAGTTATATTTTAAAAGGTAGGGTGAAGGTAAAGCTGAGTTATATGAAACATATTTTGGATTCAATATTTTATTACTAAAATGCGGCTGAGAGAAGGAAATGGATCCGAAATATTTCAACTTTTCGTTCAATAAAATTTACTGTAGCTACTGTTTGACCATAAAATTCCTATATTGAAAATATTCACATATGTATATGTTTAACCCATGTGCGCAAGTTCAATGACAGTTAATGTTAATGATAAGACCCCTAAAAACATAATTAAATATTTGTTTGGGTGTTTCCTTCAAAATGAAATTCAGTTGTATAACACATACAACATACACATAAAAGAGTGCATAAAAATGTCAAACATGCCAAAGAACAAAAATAGCTAATCTTACCTAGACTCCAATGAGAGATATCCGAACACGCATTTGATAGACTAGTAGTAGATACAATTGGACCACTACCAAAATCAGAAAATGGCAATGGCAGTCACTCTCATCTGTGATTTACTGATACCGAACAAAAATTCGAATACGGTAGCTAAAGCAATACTTGAATCCTTTATTCCGAAGTACAGTCCATGGAATATAGGAATTCAGTGATTCTGAATTAATTCTGTGCTAATAGCTGGAAATTAAGAATAAATTAACAGCCTGGTCCAAGTGCAGAGTAATACGAGCACCCCTTGAAGGCCACCGTGCAATATTGCAGTCATAGAATTCACATATTTTTGGCTGCTACTGTATGACCTCAAAAGACCGTGAAATATTCATTTATCTGCATTCAATTAACTTGGAGCATTTCAAAAACAATAACTTGGCACACATATGTATTGGGTTATAGATCACAGAGCAGTAAGAGTGATAAATTCTAAATAGCTCTTATGTTGGTGACACCCAGCTCTTCACTCGCATGATTGCAAAGTCTGCTAAATTATCACACACCAACAAAAATGAAGATTCTTGGGCTGTTCCACATCGTTTTATTGGCAATTAAGTGACGCATGCATTGGATATTTGTTTAAAGCTCAACGGTGGCACTTGATATTCACAATCCAAGAGACTGATACTCATTCGTTGTAGAGGGTATAAATAGAGCATTCACGTTATCACCGATAAGTCTGCTTTCGCCATCTTATCGTGATAGTCTAATCTGTAGACACTAAATTATAATTTTGGAACTGTATAAACGCCAAAGTCGGCCGTATATCTCTAATCGGTGTCACTTTACAATAAGCAGTTTAGTTGAAGGCTGATCCAGTCAAGAGCTTTGGACAGTTAATAACGAGGTAATTTGTGTAAACAAATTAAGCAGATTTGTTTTCGCTAATCTTATCTCCATTTCTGCCAAACAGTTATCACAATAAAGTCTTTAAATAGTTACAAGAATTTGCTCTTCGCTTGCAAAGTTTACTTTCCCCCGATCTACAAAACTACTTTCGTTTGAGGTACTCTTCATAGAGTTTTAGCAATTCAGGGCTAGTTCGCGGAGGTACCGCCTTCAAGGCGTGCTCGAAGTCCGTCCACTTAACGTCCTCCGCTTCGAAGCTTTGCTCCAGGGCTCTCAGGGCAGCCTCATGGCACACGGCTTGTATTTCTGCTCCGGAATATCCCTCCGTCAGCTGCACCAACCTTTCCATGTCCACATCGTTCGATGTCGGCATGGCACGCAGTTTGATCCTTAATATTTCCCTGCGTGCTTCGCATTGGGGTAGGCCTACGTAGAGAATTCGGTCAATTCTGCCTGGACGAAGCAGCGCCTTATCGATCATATCTGGACGATTGGTGGCAGCCACTATGGTGACATTTTGCAGGGTCTCCACGCCGTCCAGTTCGGTGAGCAGTTGGGTGAGAACACGCTCTTTTACGGAGGCACCAGAGCCGGAACCCTCGCCCTCCGAACGCTCACCACCGATGGCGTCTATTTCGTCGAAGAAAACTATGGCGGGTGCCACCTGGCGAGCTTTTCGGAAGACCTCACGCACCGCTCGCTCCGATTCGCCCACCCACATGGAAAAGAGCTCTGGTCCCTTGATGGACAGAAAATTAAGCTTGCTTTCGGTGGCTAGGGCCTTGGCAATCATGGTTTTTGAGCAGCCTGGCGGCCCAAACATGAGGATACCCCTTGGGGGCTTGATACCCAGGCGTTGGAACTTATCCGCATGCAGCAGAGGCCACTCGATGGCCTGCTGCATCGCCAAACGGAGCTCGGCTTGACCGCCAATGTCTGACCACCGCACATTGGGTGATTCGATGAGCACCTCCCGCATCGCCGATGGTTTAATGCGGGTCAAAGCAGCTTGTAGATGCAGCATCTGTAGAGGATTAGGTTGCGCCTGTAGCATGGCAGCATAAACGAGATTTGCCAAATCTGCACCCACGTAGCCATGGGTAATAGATGCAACGTGCCCCACTTCCTCAGCACTCAGCTGATGCTCCATCGACTGCATGAGGCATCCGAGAATTTCCAACCTTGCCTGAGAGCTGGGAGCACCCAACTCCACTTCAGTGTCCAATCGACCAGCTCGCCGAATGCTCGGATGCAGGGCATCGATCTGTGAACTTGTAGCCAGGACAAAAGTTTTGCTTCCCTTTAGCTGGCTAGGATTACTTAGCTGATCCAGCAGGGACAAAAACGCCAATGAGACTCGCTTGACAAGATCGCTGCTTTCCTGCTTGGGACACAAGTTGTGGACATCCTCAATCAGCAGCAACGTTGGATGCGGAAAGTGATTGTAGGCACGCTCAAAAATAGCACCCAGTTTCTGTTCCGTTTCGCCCAGAAATTTGCTGTAGACTTCGCCGCTGTTGATGCGTATCAGCTGGACATGTACTTGACTGCGTTCCTCTGCCACAGCACACATGGCTTCCAGAACCATGGACTTGCCACAGCCAGTGGCGCCGTACAGAAGCAGTCCACGGGAAACCCTGAGGCCTAAATGATGAGAACAGTAAATATGTTCAATGTGAGTCTTAGGTTCCACTTACCTGCAGGCAACGTTCGGAAGCCCAAAGCGTACTCCATGCTCTCCTCCACCAGTTGCAATTGCCTATCCAGCCCGCCTATTTTGGATTTGGTGATTCTGTGACTTTTCTTCTGCTCTTCCTGCTGCTGATTTGCATTTTCAGCTATTAGTTGGAGTTTGGTAACGTTGGTAACCTGGATGAACTGCAAGGGCTTGGAATCTAGGCTGAGACCTGCAAGAGCCTCTTCCACAGTGCTCTGCCATCGCTCCAGGCGAAAAGTCAGCGATTTGTTAAAGAAATTCATGTGTATCAGACTGTCCTTGCAGAATACCCTATTGACCATGTCTCTTTTGAGAAGGGCAACGGCGTCCTGTAGTTGTCCTAACTTCAGGGAAGTCTCTGTGCTGTTTATATGCTTCAGCGAAATGCTAGCAGCCGCAGTGAGGCGACTGGGATGCAGCGCAGAGATCTTTAGTAGCTTTCCTCTTAGTTGCGTGCAATGGAGTTTGAAATCTGGTTAAAAATATGTTCATTAGTGCTCAGAACCCTTTTTAAAGTTCGAATAACGTACCCCCTTCGCTCACAAATACTGTGGTGAGGAATTGCTCTGATGTGGGCCATACAATCCTAACCAGCGGCTGCTCCGACGATGAAGGAGCTTCCATCACCACATGTTGCCCAATGTGCAGTTGTGCCAATTGCATCGCACCTTCGGATACGAAGACTAGCATATTGGCATACTTGGCGGGCAGTTCCTTCAGGGATTCCACCTCAAAGTTTCGCTGCTGAAGACTTCTCGTATAGATTGCCCCACTCCGGACGTACTCCGCCTCGGAATCCTGGCCAACATCGTCCTGGCTGATGGCGGAGCACAAGCCCTCGTGGTTCTCTCTCGCTTTCGAGGGAATGTGGGCACCGCAGGACTCGCAGTGGTACCAGGTAACCTGGTTTTTCTTGCTGCTCGACTTTGGCGGCATTTCGTTGGCCGGTTGCACGTTTTGTTTTCATTGTGGGTGGAAACGTTCGTTGTGAATGGCAACTGAGGGCCAGCTCTGGCAGATCTAGATCTAGCCAAAAATAGCTAGATCTTGGGATAGCTAAATAGATAATACAGTTACCGCGAATAAGTAATGCTTTTTAATAAGTAATTTCATTGCGTAATATTTTTATATAAAAAAGTATATATATATTCAGTTGTTAAAACATGACAAAGGTCCCACGCATAAATTTAAACGTTAATTCTGTAAATCTTTAAACAACGAAAAAATAAGGAGCCCTCACAATTTCGCAGAGTCTTTAAAGAAAGCCTGAGGAGTTTGTTATGAATAGAATGGCAAAAAAAAAAATTTAATAAATAATAAAAATAAGAGAACCTTCACAATTTCACAGTGTTAATAAAGGAAGCCCGAGGAGTTTTACTTGAAAAGAGCAAATCGAAAAAATTAAATTACATAAATGATGGCTATCTTTGGCCCGCAAACGCAGTCAGCCGAGCTGCCATCACTGACAGTGTTGGTAAGGGCGGTATTTTCCGGCTGTCCGCATGCAGCCACTCCTGAGATTCATTGTTGGTTTGTGACTCAGACTTCCTAGTGCGAGAAGCAGGAGAGGATCACATAGCGGATTACCCATGAACAGCGACGGCGAAGCCTCATCACTGCAGATGCCCCAGATGACTGTGGGGGTCATGCTCCCGGGAGAAGCCAACCAATCGCCTGACACCGCTCCGCTTTCGGTGGCGGAGGCGGTGTCCAACAAGGACTTCTACATCGGCGTTGGCCTGGCGATCTCCTCCTGCTTCTTCATCGGCTCCAGCTTCATCATCAAGAAGAAGGCGCTCATTCGACTGAGCAGGTACGGCGAGGTGCGGGCGTCAGCCGGAGGATTTGGATATCTGAGGGAGTGGATCTGGTGGGCAGGTCTTCTAACAAGTGAGTGAAGAACAAAACAAAAACACTTGGCTTCCGGATTACCCTTGCAGTGTGAATTTTCTTGTGTTGATATGTTCCACGAGTAATAGTGTTGACACTGTGAAATTATAATGCAGAGATAACTAAGCGTGGAAAGCCTTAAAAACCGTTTCCATATTTTCCATTTCTAATGTGATTAGTAAATCATTATTTTTCATATATTTTCCATAGAAAAATGTCGTGCTATCACAAACTTCCGTTCCTGATGTGCGTCATTTAAATATTTCCAAAAACAATCTGATTAAGACCGATTGGTTTTTTAAGTTCAGAAATAGAAAACACAAGTCGGGCTGTAATAGTTTTCAATTTGTAACTATCAACAAAACGCATTTAAAACAGAGATAATGAACAAGTGCATACAAACTTGTTTAATCTATAGAATCAAATATAAGTGTCGAACCCTCTCCCGAAATTTGAATACCGCCTGCAAGGGTATATTATCAGAACACCAGAACCCCTTATCACACTGACACTATGACTCACATACTCTGCTTATTTTTCACAGTGGGCGTGGGAGAAGCGGCCAACTTTGCGGCCTACGCCTTTGCCCCCGCTTCATTGGTCACCCCGTTGGGAGCTCTGAGTGTAATCATCTCAGCCGTGATGGCCTCCAGATTCCTCAACGAGAAGCTTAACCTGCTGGGAAAGATAGGCTGCTTTCTGTGCATACTTGGATCCACCATCATTGTGATTCACTCGCCCAAGGAGAAGGAGATTGAGGATCTCCAGCTTCTATTCGACATGCTGTTGGACCCGGTGTTCATCCTGTACGTGATCTGCATCGTTGGCTCCACGGTGTTTGTGGCCTGCTTTGTTGCCCCACGCCATGGACACAGCAATGTGGTGGTCTATATCTTCTTGTGCTCCGGAATCGGGTCTCTGACTGTGATGTCTTGCAAGGCATTGGGCCTAGCCATTCGGCAGACGCTGAATAATGGAGGAAACGTATTCCTCACATGGATGCCATGGTTCCTGATCCTGCTCACCGTCACTTTCATAGCCATCCAGATGAACTATCTGAACAAGGCGCTGGATATATTCAACACGAGTATAGTGACCCCAGTGTACTATGTGATGTTCACCACTCTGGTGATAGCTGCCTCTGCCATCCTGTTCAAGGAGTTCACCCACATGCGGTTCGACGATATCCTCGGCGATGTGTGCGGCTTCCTCATCGTTATCACAGCCGTGTTCCTGCTCAACGCCTTCAGAGATATTGATATATCGCTGAACGATGTACGAGGTCTGATGCGGCCGAAAATGCAGCGGGTGGCGCAGTTCGACGAGGAGGTGCTGGTCACCAGCAATACCAAGGAACGCCGCCTGTCCTACGGATCCAGCGACATCTTCCGGAAAGCCTGACACAAGCAGCGATACCAGGTCTAGTTGCATCCCTTGCAGCGGTTGACCTGAAGACAAGGTTGCTTTACGCCGTAAACGAAACATTGGTCTAAATATCTGTGCATATCACCTGCATTCTCATCCACACATCTCATCTCCATAAATTGTTCCTTCGCTCTTGTTATTCATACATTCGCTAGTATAAGAACGTAGGTTTAGGTTATATTGTATTAAACACGATTTACTAACGTATAGTTGAAGTTTTGTTTGTGATATAGGCCCGAAATAAGTATGGTCGGTTTTTGATAGGATATTCATTGTCAACCGTCTTTGTGATTAAAACGATTATAAAGCGATTTATAATCTTCTAATCATCACAATCTTAAATTCGTCCTATATGCAACATACTTAATTATTTTAAATAATTCAGTACATGCTCAATAGCTTGGTTATGGTCGCATTTGACTAATTCTTTATACAATTTGTAATATAAATCTTCCAATTTACATTCTCTCCAATCGTGTAAGCTAATATAATTTGATTTTATGGATTTTTGCTGGGTCGTTGTTTCCTCCTTCTCGTCTTGTTTTTATCCACTTCAACTGGGAATGACTTGATGTAATTCAACAAAGTGTCCGTGCTTTCCGGCGTACTCTCCTTGCTATTCTTCTCTAGATATTTTGATCCATACAGCCAGATGCAGCTGCTCAGACTTTCAGCGGTGTGGAATGAGTCTTCTGTTGAGTTATTAGGAATGTACTCCGCTGGCGGAAGCTCCTTTGGTCTGCGAATCTTCCGTGGCGCGAAGAATTTGCGATCTGTGATCAGATGAAATCGCTGGCTTCCATTTTGAACAACGTTTGGTAAGCTGATCTCCGGATGGAGGGGTACTGAGTCCTGTCTAATGGACATTCTTCCGAAATTCCGGATGATGGCCAAAGCCTCCTTCTCTACCGTTGTGGTGTCCTCCCAGTCCTCCATTGTAGCGTGCTCGCCCAGCGGCTTGGTGCCAGCTACTCTCTGAATCTTCTCCATCATTTGCAGACTTTGACGGATTTCCCGCCCCTTACCGCCCGGCGTCCCATATCCAAGCAGATCTTCCCGGGCTGCCAAGTACTCGTAGGTATTTATGGGAACAACTCCTGCGAACTCCTGTTTCTTCATCAGCTCGTAGGCGATCTGTCCATGAATCAGATTAAAGCCCGGCTCCAATTGCACCAGATCGTGCTCGAACCGCGTCCTGGGCACCCATGCCATGATGCTGTCAGTTGCTTCAAGTACTCACAACTTTATTTTGAAATCCAGGAAAGCTTATTTCCAGTAGACTGTGCAAATATTTTCGAAGAAGAATAGAAATTCAAAAACACTACATGCTATCGATACCGATAAGCAAGTTAAACGCTTCCCGGTGAATCGCTGCTTATCGATTGACATTCAGCAAATAGAAAAATAAACCGTTTTTTAATTAATCCAATTTGGTTTACTTAAACAATAAACATGATTTCTATGCGGTTCAGGGTGTTGCGTAATCTCAATCGCAGCGCTCTAAGTGGACTTGGAAAAGATTTACCCCGATCAACCGCTGTGAATGTCAACTATCCAGCTGTCACCTTTCCGGCCGCCATTAGAACGCTGAAAACTTTTAGCAATTCTTTCCTAACCAAGGAACCAATCTCTGCATTTATCGCATCTCAGCGCCAGTATTCTTGCGAAAAAATAGACAAAACCATGGAGGAGCACTGCGTGGTACCGGATGTGATCGCCAAGGCTCCGGCGCAGACGGCTGTGGTGGAATATCCCGGCGATATTGTTGTGAAGCCGGGTCAGGTGCTGACCCCCACCCAGGTGAAGGATGAGCCGTGCGTGAAGTGGGAGGCGGACGCCAATAAGCTGTACACCCTCTGCATGACCGATCCGGACGCGCCCAGTCGCAAGGATCCCAAGTTCAGGGAGTGGCACCACTGGCTGGTGGGCAACATACCCGGTGGAGATGTCGCCAAGGGCGAGGTTCTCTCCGCCTACGTGGGATCCGGTCCCCCACCAGACACCGGGCTCCATCGCTACGTTTTCTTGATCTTCGAGCAGCGGTGCAAGCTCACCTTCGACGAGAAGAGGCTGCCCAACAACAGCGGAGATGGACGCGGCGGCTTCAAGATCGCCGAGTTCGCAAGGAAGTACGCTCTCGGCAATCCCATTGCCGGTAACCTCTACCAGGCGGAGTACGACGATTATGTGCCGATCCTCTACAAGCAGCTGGGCGCCTAATTTGCACGCCATGAACCATGCTTATATAAGCCAGTTTGAATTGGATTCGCTCCTCATTCGGAAATCTATTGTAACCTAGAAATGAAAGACACCCATGTACACTTTGAAAACATTGTTGCTGGCAATAAAATTGTTAAAGACATCTTAAGTACCTTAAGTCTCCCACTTATTAAAGTCTAGTTCAACCATTATTCAATATTATGTTATCTAATATACCTTTAAATTTAAAATGATCTTCCAAATATTAATCAAACGCTGCTTTCATCAATCTCTATTAATAGTTTGACAACGTCAACGTCTAATGAGAAAATAGTTTTTGAGCTGGTTATTTATTTTTTATTCATTCCAATTACAATCTACTTCTTTACCAATAGGATTCTTCTAGCGTCATATACAATTTCATGAACTTGAATTAATATATCTTACCAAAATACATGTTTTGAAGATACAACACAAATTGCTATCGACCTTCTGAGTAGGAAGAACGTTTCTGATCAGTATTATAGTAATTCCCAGAGCGCACAGTACGCCTGGGTAACTTTTTTATTTGTAAAAGCATTCTGATTTAATTACAGACTACTTCTTAAAGTCAGGATGGTTCTTCGTGTTTCATGTGTGCAGTAATAAAGGTCTCTAATACAACTAGATGCAAAATTATAAAATCCATAAAATAATGCTGAAGAAGAACCTACATTCGATTCGGTCTTATGTTGGGACCAATGTATGTTCGGGTGTTGAGAAGGAGGGCATGTCTAATTTTCAAATTGCTTTACTCTATAGGGGGAAAGACGGTGCGGTGGTCATTCCATTCAGTTTCGCTGATTGCCTATAATAAATAAGTTCGGAGTTAGTTGATTATAACAAGGTTGCAGAATATTTGATCAACTCACCACTAGTTCATCGAAGGCCTGTTTGGCCAGCCAGTGGAAGCATGGACTCTTCCATTCGCGCGCGATTGCCTGCTGATCCTTCACGTCGTCCTCGGCGGTGGACTTGGAATTGATAATGGTCTTGTATTTGGCCCACAGAAAGACCATGCTGCGCAACTTGTATACCCAGAGGTCGTTGGGTATACCGCGAATGATGTCCTGGATCTCCACCATATTCAGCTCCGTAAGGTTTTCCAGGAGGGTGCGGTTCATCAACGTAAAGATGGTCTTCATAGTGTCGTACGGTACGTCAGCATTCTTCTCGAGACCAAAGTGTGCCGACTTTATGATGGCGTAAACCACCTGCTCTGTGGAGAGCTTGGGCAGATTGGGTAAGAAGCAGTGCTCCAGGTTCAGGTTCCCGCACTCCACCAGCTGTTGGTCGATCTCCTCGCCCACATTTTTGTAGTCCTTCCACCAGTTGCCCCAATCTTTATATTTCTTCGACTCGCTCAGCGGACCCCACTCGGACCTTATACGCTTTCTGTTGCGCTTTGCATTCTTGCGAGCCGACTTGGCGTCGTCGGCAACCGATTCGTCTTCCGAATCCTCGTTGAGCACTACGGCGGCCTCTAAGAAGTCCTCCTCGGTGGCGTCCTGGTTTGTACTGTAGTTGAAGGTTTGTTCGAAGAAGGTCAAGGCATACGAGTCCGCCTCGGGTTGTGGGAGCTTTTTCGGCTGATCGTTTAGATAGGGAATCTTGAATCCGCCAATTAGGAATCCGCGCTTACGTGCCACGCGTCGCCATTTCTTGACCGACTTGGAGGCAGCCTCAGTTTCCAACGGTGGAGCTGGAGCTACACGCTTCTGGCCTGCAATGCATCACATATTAGGGACTTGAGTGTTGTAAAATTATTCCTGATTGCGGAAATGTCTACCAAAAACAAGTTTTTGGAAGAGTTTTGTAGCATCACGGAATATACTTATTGGAATAATAATATCAGCCTAACTAAACTTGTTTACAAAATTTGTTTTTAAGCTTACTTGAGCATTATGGTTTGAGAAAAGAAAACGAAATCTTACCAACTTGGACGGGGAATCCAGGACCATTTGGTGGCCTATTAGGCACTCCCGCTGGCTTGCCTAGATGTGGTCCACCCTTTACCGCTTGCTGGCCAGGCCTAGGTGCCACTGGTCCCGACTTCTGTAGCTGTGGTCCAGTTTTCAATCCCGGTGGTCCCGTCCTGGCTGCTTGGGGTCCACTCCTCACGACTTGTCCAGTCACCGCTGGCTTCTTGTTGGCTACCACAGCCGTACTCGCCTTAGGAGCCAAGTTGTTGACTTTATACTGATTTGGTGCTGCAATGGGCAGCTTCTTTTGTACTCCAGCTGGATTGCCCGGACGCAGGTTGGCGGGCTTGTTAGGTTGGTTGTTCCTGTTGTTGTTGTTGGGCAAATTGGGCGCGACCGCGGTTTTAACGATTGCTGCAGCCTTCTGGGGATTGTTCCGCAAGTTCTGGACCGCTCTGGCGGCAGGCTGTGGGCCTGGCTTGCGAACAGATCCGCCATTGTTTAAATTCATCTTCTGCAGCTGATTGCGCTTCGAGTTGAAGGCGCGCTGGCTAGCCTCCCATCCAGAGCCACCGGCACCAACTCCTCCTCCGCCGCCACCACCTCCTCCTCCGCCACCACCTCCTCCTCCTCCTCCGCCGCTGCCGCCACCACCTCTACTGTTCGATTGATAGCCAGAGCTCTGGAACGAGGAGGATTGCGATTTGTTCCAGTTGTTGCGAGAGTCTTGGAAGGTGCGACTAATGTTGTTGCTAAAGCCGCCTCCGGCATTGTTGTTGCCAAAGTTGCCTCCAGAATTTTGGTTAAAGCCTAGGCCTCCGGAGCCACCGCCAGCCGGTCTGCGGTTGTTGAAGTTTCCGATATCTCTATTGTTGTCCCCGAAGTTTCCAGAGTTCTGGACAAAATTGCCCTGATTTCCACCGCGCCCGTAGGAATCATTTAAATCAGAACGCTGGTCATCAAAGTTATGACCTCTGTTTGGGAAATTGTCATTGTTGAAGTTGCGTTGATTGTTTCCTCCAAATGAAGGACCAGTGTTTCCAGCAAAAGGGACATCGCTTCCTCCAAAGGAAGGTCCATTGTTGCCTCCATAAGCGGGGCCATTATTTCCACCAAAAGCGGGGCCATTGTTCCCGCTAAAGGAGGAACTATTGTTGCCGCCAAATGCGAGTCCATCATTGGGACCGAAGTTACCGAAAGATCCTTGATTTCTGGGTTCATCGTTGCAAAATCTATCGCCGCTTCCCTGCGACTGGGGACCTCGATAGTTGCTGTCCGTATTGCGGTCCATGTTAAAGTTACCAGAGTTACCGGGTATGCGGTTCTCCAGTTCCAGCAAGCGGGCTACGTTGCCCGAGTTGGATGAGCCCCTGTTCGCTTGCCCGAAATTGGAGGACGGGCCGCCACGAAAGTTGTCCTGGTAATTATCGCCGAAACGCTGGTTGCTTGGATTGAATCCGGTCCGATCTCCAACTCCAGAACGCGGGTAGCTGTTGTTGCCGCCACTGTTGATGTTGTTGTAGCCACCGCCGCGATTAAAGTTGCCACCATCTGGACTGGAATTCTTGTTGCCGCCGTAGCCTCCGCCACCTGAATTGCCGCCGTAGCCTCCGCTGCTGGTATTGCCGCCTCCGCCGAAATTGGCGCCACTACCAAGGCCACCGCCGAAGTTTGAGGAATACATCCCGCCTCCGCTTCCGCCTCCTCCGCCACCGACGCTAGAGCTCCCCATTCCGCGCCGTTGGCCAATGCCGTAAGCGTCGTTCTTCATTTGGCGGTAGTCCATTCCGAATAGTGCTTACCCGGAGTTACCTTTTCGTCGAGCACTCGCCGCTACTTCCAATTAACTGGCTTCTCTGCAATTTTTTCCAACACAACAAACGCGCCCCAAAAAATGCTTTCCTTTCCCCGATTTTTTCTCTGTCTGACAGCCAGGGTTGCAAAGCAATGAAAGCCGGCTGCACAAAATGGTAATAAGTCCGATTTGACGTTGGTATTTTTCGGTGAAAATACCAACTTTAAATGAAAAATACCGCCTTAAAATTAGCTTCAAATATCATTAAATATTTATTTAATTTATCCATATATAATTTCGGCTTGTAGATTTTCCATCAAATGAATGTTCGATTTTCCATACACGGGTTTTCGGTTTTGTTCGATCGGACAAATCGAACCATCTTCTAAAAAAATACCTTTAGCAAAAATTGTTCTAAATTCCATTTTTGATATTAGTTTAATGTATAATAAGTCCAATAAAGCTTCTTTTCTTTACCAACCATCAGCTGGGATATTTTGTGATGAAATTGAAAAAGAAAACTATTTTTAAACTTGTGCCTTTATTAACTTTATCACAGCGGCGATGATTCATTATGACAAACATAAGAATTGATTAAAATTTTTTTTTTTTTGTTTTTAGTTGCTGAACACAGGAATGCGAACCTGAAGCATCTAAAGAAGAAAGAACAGAAATTAAAAATTAAGATCCTCCACTTTTGGTTTGGCGCATCACCTTGGTGGTCTTATCGAAAAGAGCTTGAGCCCGCTCCTGCTGCAGACGGTAGTTGACAAATTTGTCGAACACATAGCCATGTTTGTGGGACTCCACTGCGATACGATCCTCGCCAACAACGAGACTGAACTCCTGCGAGGAAACCTGCGGATTAAATAGTATTTTTCATTCCATAAATCGAGTTTAAACGTACAGACGATGCATGGGCATCTCTTTAATCTTACGAAGTTCGGTAAGTAGATCTCAGCATGGATTTCATCAACGGACTCCTGACGAACTCGAGCGCAAAGTTTGTACTGCAACTCCTCAACAACGCCTGCTGGTTGTCGACTCCCCCTTATGGCTGCTGCATCCTTGTCGTTGATCTCCTGCACCAGTTTCCCGGAGCTGTCTGGTGGCACAGGTTCTTCCTGGTTGCTGAGAGCAGCCGGTACGCCGGACACAGGCTGGACCCTTTTCACATCATCGTTGCGCACACGATGAGTGACCAAAGTGCCAATGAACTTGCGATTGTTCAGAATTAAAGTCTTTTCCAAGTTGAGCTGAACATTATACTTTTCGCTCATTGCCTCAGCGACAATTTGCATAAAGAAATTTTGGAAGAGCTGCGACTTCTGGATCTTCACCAGAAACTTTGGGTTCACGGCGATATCGCAGACATCGACGGTTTTACCGGAACGATCCTTAGTGAGTCTTGGTTCTGAGATACTCATGGGCACTCGAAACGAGCCGGGAGTAGTGGATTCGAGTATGCCAATCAGTTCCTCCTCGGTGACATCTTGCGGAGCTGGAACTTCCGGTGCCTGGCACACGTTGATGAAGAACTTCTCATCACTATTTGTCTTGAAGCTTTTCACGCAGATTCCTAATGGGGTAAAAAAGAAAAGGTGAGCAAGCTTATATTTGTTTGTTATCTGCAAAGTTTCTGGCTGCTAATAAATATGAAGGTGATTCAAGCGTATTGTCCATTGCAGAAGAAAAACCCTTGCTTTATTTGGCTTTTATTCCGTTTACAATCTAAAACACATCAAGCTACAAGTCATTTGGCAATACGTTGCGCATTTAATTACGATTTCAAGCCGGGATAGATTTTATTATGATCCGGCCACGCGATCTCGCTGATTGCCTATAAATAAAGATAAGGTTTGTTGTCAGTTGAAGATAAAAGTACATGGGTTTTCTAAGGTTTCCAGATGCTTTCAGCTGTGGGAAATGTTGTTCTCACCTTAAGCTCATCAAAGGCCTGCTTGGCTAACCAGTGAAAGACTGGATTTTTCCATTTTCGCGCAATGGTTTGAATTTCCTTAGTGCTTTTGATATTTTTGGGCCCTTGGGTTTTAAGAGTGCCGTGGTACCTTTCCCAAAGGTAGACCATGCTGCGGATCTTGTAGAGCCACAAGTGATTTGGTATGCCACGTATCAGGTCCTGCAACTTTTCCATTTGCTCATCAGACAAACTTTGGAGGAACGTTTCGTTCATCAGAAGGAAAATCGAACGCATGTTGCGGTAATGGCTGAAGGTGTTCTTCTCCAGACCCATGTAGCCCGCTTTGAAAATCTGATTGATCGCCTGTTCGGTCAAGCCTTTTGGGCCGATGGGAGCAAAGCGGTGGCGCAGATTGCGGTCTCCGTACTTGTCCAGCTTTTTGTTGATCTCGCTGCCGCACCACTTGTAATCCCTCCACCAGGCGTGCCAGTCCTTGTAGTTATTGGTTCTATAGATTTTTGTCCACTCCTTGCGCAGCTGGGCGCTCATTTTCTTCTTGGAGTTGCGTCCTTTCACTTTTGACTGAACACCAGACCGGTCCGAGTCCAGAGATTCAGCATCGGACATGTCCTCCTCGTCCATATCTTCGTCTTCATCAACATCGCCATCGTCATTGGCATAAATGTTTGTGTTGTAGATGGGCGTTTGCTCGAAGAAGGTCACCGCGTACGACTCCGCCTCCGGTTGTGGCAGCTGCTTGATATTGCTGTTGATGTACGGTAGGCTAATTCCGCCTATGATGAAGCTGCGATCTGTTTCCGCTCTCTGGCGTTTTGGCTCGGCTTTGTTAGCCCCTAACTTTGTGGCCTCAGCTTTTCTTTTTTGCCCTGCAAAATTAAACATGTATTTTGTTGTGGGAATATCCGAAAATGTAAGAATGCAAACCATACAAAAGGACTTTTATAATCAGCTTCTCGAAGAATAACGTACAGTTTTTATACCAAGTGTGTTGGTAATCCATGAAAACGTGTTTCAAAAATGATCTTTTAAAAATTTTTAAAGTTTGGGAAAGATGGTTCCGTTAAGGTAGTTTGATTTTGAAATCGGGAAGATCCTTTAAGGTCATACTTGAAAATAATATATTTTTGAACGGGTTTGCATTCCAAGGTTCTTGCAAATGTTGCTTTAAGTAAATGGGGCAACAATTTCTTGAATTTAAAACCAATTAAAAAGCTTTAGCTAGCTGTAATTGGTTCGCATTAAATGTGGAATTTATTAAGAATTTAAAAGCTTATCCCTTACCAGCGCGTGGTTTCGCCATGGCCGCGTTGTTCTTAGTTGCCTGTGGTTTCGGTTTGATTACCGGCTGGCCAAGTTTGGATGCACCAGGATTGGTGATCATAGGTTTGTTGGGTGGAACCGCTGACTTCTTGATATTTTGGTTTGGAATGCCAGGATTTTCATATCGAGATAGGCTCGGACTTGCGCTTCCTAGATTGGGAGCACCCGATTTGACATTCCGTGAGGTTGCACTGCGATATTGACTTGCCAATCGATTTGGATTGCTGCCACCACGAGTTTGAGATGTGATTGAATTTGACCTGGGTTGATTAGGAGCGCCAGTACTGATGTATGAACTCGATCTGCTTTGTGGCTTCCTTCCAGGGTTTATATTTTTAGTCATTTTACGATCTAGACTGGATCTGTTTGGGTTCAAATTAGTTCCGTATTGTATAGGACCTCCGGAATGGCCAACTCTGGTTTGATTGGGACCCATGGGTCTGTTAGAACTGGAGTCGTGGTAACGATTTCCAGAACCCGATCCACGGCGAATAGTTTGTTGATAGTTCGGCGGAAAATCAGGGTTATTTGAGTCTAGGAATGTGTCATCCTCCCTTCGGGGAAAGCGTTGGATGTCACCGCCACGCGAAGAGTTGTTTCGCTGATTGAAGTCGTCGTTTAAGTTGCGGCGATCGAGTTCTCGATCGAACTGGCGCCTAATGCCCTCGAAGTTACGATCGTTGCGATTGCGTCCATATGCATTACGATCATCGATGTTATGATCTCGGTGGTTGGGTTGGTTACCCCTGGAACGCCGATTGAACTCGCGCTCTTCTGGGCTACTAAAAGTTTCGTACTCCTCTCCAGAATGATCATCATTCATAATTGCTTCATCTGTGTCGTCCATGAAATGTGCATCCTCAAGCAGCTCGCGTTCATCGGGTACGTACTCGTTTTGCCCATAGTGATCTGGACTCCCTTCGTTTGAGTTAGTCCAGTCGGTACGGCATAGTATTATTTGATTGTCATTCACAATGCGCTGATAATTGCGACCCGTTTGTGGTCCACGGTTGGTCCTTGGATCCTGATCAATATATGGCCCATGTTTTGGGTGGGCTTCAGGCGAACGGAATCGATCTGTGGGCAACTGTATGTCGTCATCGATCATAGCATTTCGATCCAAGTTGGATTGTTGAATAGGAACGAATTTCTGATTACCCGGCCTGCGATTGTTGTTTACTTGGGAATGATCATAGTTTGAGGGATGAACTCTGTTTGGCACCTGACCACGATAGTTGGTGTTGTGATTTGGTCCTTGAACATGTTGGTTATTGAAGCTGGGTTCCTCTTCAAAAGTATTACGAATGAATTGTGCATTAGCAAGACGGTTATTACGGTTGGGTCCCTGAGGGAATGCATTGTTGTTAGCATTACGATTATTTCGATTGAATTCATCATTGTTTCGATTACGATTATTGCGATTGAATTCATCATTGCTTGCATAACGATTGTGATTAAATTTCTGCTCATTAGCATTACGGATATTACGATTGAATTCCTGTGGATTGGCATTACGATTATTGCGATTGAACTCCTGGGGATTTTGATTTCTTATAGGGCGATTGAAATCCTGTGGATTTTGATTTCTATTTGAGCGCTTGAATTCCTGGGCATTTGTATTTCTATTGAATTCCTGGGGATTTGCATTTCTGTTAGGACCACGGAATTCCTGTGGATTAGGACGTGAACTCTCATTTCTGTTGAAAATTGCATTTCGATTATCCGGGTTGGGTTCTAGGTCGTTTGCGTTGCGATTATTTCGATTAAATTCAGTTCTGTCCATATTCCGACTATTTCGATTAATGTCCTGCGCATTTGCATTACGATTACCGCGATTGGGATCCTGCTGGATTGCACCACGGTTGTTACGACTGAATTCGACTGTAGGATTCTCGGCAAGATTATTGCGATTAATATTCCGATTTCGATTGATCGGAGCATTTACAGGCCCAGCATTCCTATTGATTGGCTCCCGCTGTTCCACGATTCCGCGCTTGTTGTCCCTCCGGTCTGGGAAGTTTTCCTCCCTTTGACGATTCCTAGGGCGTGATCGGTCGTTCCTCACCGGCGAATTATCCCGCTTGGCAAAGTGCCAATCAATGTTCCGCGGGGGCGATGGAGTGCGTGGACGCGACTCGACTTCGTCGTGGCCATCCACCGCATCCTCGATGGCACGAAGCACCTCCTTGTCCACCACATCCTGGTGACTGTCGCCCAGCTCGACGCTGAGGCGGAACCTCTGGCGCTGGAACTGGCGCAGGTTGAACTTGGGCACATTGAAGGTGCGCTGTGCCAGGGCGTTGGCCAACACCCGACTGGCGCCCAGGTCGCGGAGAAATTGGCGCCGATTGTCCAGCTCGCTGCTTCCTAATTTCATGGTACCACATATGAAATTTGAAATTTAGAAAAGCAGACACGTTTTGGGTTAGAGCTATGGTCACGTTTAGCACACCAATTCCAATCTAATCTACTCATGACGGCATAAACTTGATTTGCAGTGCTCTCTTAAAATATATATACTAACTTTATTAATGTACATATAATCGATTTGCTTTATTTTGCACTTTTTCCCACTATTTTAACTTCCTTTTATCTACAAAGTTTAATTGGTTTGAGTAATTGTAAAAAAAGTGAATTTTAACTGCATTGATGGCCTTTTCGGTCGTTAACAAAATGCTGACTAAGCTTGATGTTTTTTGTCAATCTATAAATTTATCACTGCAACCATCTCATATTTTAAATTGAACATTTGCTTAAATCGATTAGATTAGCATTTCTAACAAATTTTTGTTTGTAATTTCGATACTCAGATCGAATCCTTTCGGTTCTCTAGAAACTACTGAGCACTGCATGGGCAAAAGTATGCTTATAACAAATATATTTATGGCATCAAAACACATTAAACTGATAATCAAGCGAAGTACCACGTACAAACTAAATAGGTATGGTCATGCTTATACCAAAATCGTGAAGCCTGCGCAGCCAAAAAACCCAGTAGTTCCTCTCAATTGTACGACTGCCGTTGATATCGTTATCATTTGGGCCAACTTCTGTTGCTCTTGGGACAACAAAACGTTTAAGAGTGTCGTCCGTCGTGTTTAGATCGGTTCAGAATAATTTCACCAGAGTAGGAAAACATGCACTTAAAGCCGCGGAAGAGAGTCAGTATCTTTCAGCTGGGTTTTTGTTCTGACCAAACTCGGCATTATGGGAGAGTCGGGCCTCAGCGGCATGGGGTTTTAATTGATTGGGCGACCAGCGACACAAAAAGAGCCAATTCCAACGCTCTTCGAGGTGGGAGCTATTATCTCATTTTTTTTTTGAGCACGGAAAGGGAAAACAAATAAGTTTGTTCGCAGCGCTCGCTTCGCATTCAGTTGCCTTTTTTGCTCGTTACGAGCCGGTTGTCCGTCGATTTGAAGTGCTCGCCGCTGACCTCCATCCAAAAACCGATCCGATCCCAACCGCTACGGCTCGTTTCGATTCTATTCACTCCGATCAGAGCCGAATCGTTTGAATCGCAGCGAGTTTTTCTCTACGTAGAGGTAATTATAAGTGACATTTTAGTCCCACCGATACCAACAACACCACCACCACCGTACATTTTTGATTCCCATGTCGATATGTGGTTGTTGGATTCCGCCAAAGCGGAACAAGTGTGCCAGTGTGCGTTCGTATCTATGTGATGTGTATCTGTGTGTAGATTCTTTGCCTGAAATTGTGAAATTTTCGAAGGGCTCCAGAAAATCCCGCGCAAACATTCCTCGAAGACAAAAAAACGAGAAATTAATGATTCACTTTAAAAATTGTTTGATAATAACCATTAATGTTTTGTCATGCTCGCACCGCAATTATTTAATTGATAACAGAAAAAGTGTAAAATTCGAGTGCGCAAGGCTGTCTTTGTGTTCGTACGAATACGTTTTACACGGCCACAGTAGTAATTTGCCTCGTGGGCTCCACTGACGTCAGAGGCCTTGAAAGATGGTCTACGGCCCAAAGTTTCGACAGCTTCTCTCCCAGCCCGATAGTAATCAGCTCGGACTGAATGTGTGGAGAAGCAGCAGCATGTAGAGCAAACTATTGTGCGATAAGGAGCAATATAGGGATTACAATGTGCAATTCATAACTGGAACGACAAACACAATAGAATCCTCTAGTAGGGGCACCCGATAACGTTCAGTTCTGGGGTCCCCGATAAGGAGCTGTCAGTAAAATGCCTTCTCGCCACGGGGAAGTTGCTTTTTTCAGAGTTTGCACTTGGCCAAATGCAGCCAGTCAGTCTTATCTCTACTCTTCTATACTTATAAAGACATCAAGTGTGGAGTGTCTTTGATACTTTGTAAACAAATCACTCTTCTTTGGCGGCGTAAACAATTAATGCCGGCTGGCATGATCCAGAACAAACAAATTGTGTTTAAGGTTTTGAAGAGAGAGGCGTTTTTGCACAAGAAAGTCATGTTTTTCCCTTGATTTTTTGTGGCAGTCAAGAGATCTCCATTCCATTTCGCTTGACAGCTCATCGTGACTTGATGTTTTTGTTTTTGAAGAGAAATTTCGCGCTGGTGTAAAGGCAAAACACACTTTTAGTACAATTGCATATTAGTTTTGTAAGGGGGTTTTCGTCGGCCCGTTGTGTTGCTCTTATATAATCGCTGCGGGAACAGGTTTCTCCGTTAATTATATCGAACTGAAAATACTCGTTTCAGATGTGTTAGAATTTTATCTAAAGCCAAATGCTTAAAACACATGCGTGTACGGTCAAACAAGTTTTTGGCGCCCATAAAATGTGACTTGCCCAAAGCCTTAAACGAAATTTTGCGGCTCCAGTCAAGATTAGCTCGAGTCTTGTCTTTCTTTTTGTATGTTTGTGTAAGTTAGTTCTTCTTCGAGGTCGGGAAAACCCGTTTTGTCGCTCATTTGTCATTGGCAATGAACAATCGCTGGGCGTTTCAAGTGGGCGCCATGAGACCTTCCTCCAAGTGGCCCTGGACATGTAAACACCTACAATTCTGCCGTAGCACACAATACCGATGGCTAGATTACAAACTCAATACTAACTACCCTCCCAGCCCTCGTTTGATATAATAGGATAGTTCGTCAAATAACAATGTGCATAATTGGTTTGAATTGAAGAGTGCATGCATAAAAACAAATGAATTGCTCAAAATAATGGTTTTGTTTTGACCAAATTATCCATTAATACAAATTAATAACCTTTAGTTAAATTGATTTTGTGAAATTGCATATACAAAAACAGTATGGTCAAATTAAAACTACCTCACGGCGATAATTAATAAATTCAGAGCCGTTAATTAAACTTTATATTGGTAATTGGCTTTTAAATTTGTATATAGAAATACTTAAATGGCAAACACACACTTTTGGCCGTATCTCGGGCTGTTATTAGCATAGGTTTAATGTTTATCTGCCCTATGACGTGCTCCGTTCGCCTTATCGCGGGTTCACTGTACCATTCCGAACGATTACGCGAAATCGATGTCGACGCGAGAGGCTTATCGCAGAGATTACTGTGCACACAAGTGCCAAGTAGACCATGTAGACCAACTCAGAGTCATGCCTACTAACCGGCTAGAATCGCCTGGATTCTCTGCGCCACCGGCAGTAATTTCCGGCCCATGTGCAACTCCGGTTGTTGCGATGGACGCCACTCACCTGCGGTCGGCTGGACAATTAAAGAGTCCCGTGGCGGCGGCTTCTGCTGCGGGCCGTTGTCTTCCGGATTGGCACCTCCGAAGAACTGGTTAATGTTGTCCTCGAACTCGTTCTGCATTTAAAAAAAACAAGTCCATCTTTAGTGGCGAAGAGAGTTCCTCACGTCGCATTTCCAAAGTTTTGCTCACCCTCACAAATCGCAAGTTCTGGTCGCGAAAATTGTCGTTGCCTTCAATAAAATTGGAACGACGCGCCATTTTGTTTCACGATTTCAATAGCCAGTTTTGAGTTAATCGAATCCGAATGATATTTATTCGTTTTGCGACGAGCAAAAAACAATTTTTATTTGCCAGAGTGGAGCTGTCAACTCAATTTAAATGAAATCCGATGTGATAGTGTGACCCTTCGTGGAAATACTAAGAATGCCATGGAATGTTCTAAAAATACTAGAATTGAGGGGTTTTTCTGTGCAGGGTGCTTAGAGACAGTAAAAGTATAAAAGGAGAATTTAGGAGATTTATTTCTATAGATTTTTTTATATAAAGTTAAAACCCTAACTTCAATAAAGATTTGATTTGAATTCATGCTCTTCCGATGTTTCACGATTTCAATAGCCAGTTTTGAGTTAATCGAATCCGAATGATATTTATTCGTTTTGCGACGAGCAAAAAACACAATTTTTATTTGCCAGAGCGGAGCTGTCAACTCAATTTAAATGAAATCCGTTGTGATAGTGTGACCCTTCGTGGAAATACTAAGAATGCCATGGAATGTTCTAAAAATACTAGAATTGAGGGGTTTTTCTGTGCAGGGTGCTTAGAGGCAGTAAAAGTATAAAAGAAGAATGTAGGAGATTTATTTCTATAGATTTTTTTATATAAAGTTAAAACCCTAACTTCAATAAAGATTTGATTTGAATTCATGCTCTTCCGATTGTGGCTTATTTCCGCGTGTCACGCGAATGCTCACGCAATTAATTATAATCCTACTAATTTATGTAGTAACATTACATCAATTTAATCAGAAGCATACTTTCCATTCAACACCCACTGTGCCGTGAAATACCAGAAAATACCAGGTCTCGGTGCACACAACTTCCCACTGTCGCGATTAGCGGTTGTTGTAGTTGTGCGGCTTGGGAAGGAACAGCTGTGGGCCAGAAAATATAGATCCGTTTGTTTCCCTGTCGCCCTTACAGTTACCACATTGCCCGATATAGTCTATATAGCCCAGTTGCACGTGGAGGAGGTTGCCGAGCAGACGAGTGACCATGGCGACGGATACAAGCTCGCCGATGGACAGATTCTGCGGATCCACATTCTGGGTGAGTAGATGAGCTTGGTGTTCGATGCGAATGCATGTGTAAATGTATGGTTTCCGTGTGCCCAACGAACAGAACGCGACGGAGACATGGTGGACCAAAGATCCGGACTTCACGCCGTGCTTTGAGCAGACGGCCCTGGTCTGGACACCGTGCGCCTTCTACTGGGTGTTCGTGATCTTTGACTTCTACTACCTGAAGGCCAGTCTGGACAGGAATATACCGTGGAACAAGCTGAACGTGAGCAAAGCGCTGGTGAATCTGGGTCTGCTGGTGATCACTGCCCTGGACCTGATTATGGCCCTGATCAAGAAGGGCGGCGACTCCGAGCTGCCCCTCTACGACCTGGATATCTGGGGTCCCATCATCAAGTTCGCCACCTTCCTGTTGCTCTTCATATTCATCCCGTTGAACCGGAAGTACGGCGTGCAGACCACGGGGTGTCAGTTCATCTTCTGGTTCCTGCTTACCGTGCTGTCGATTCCCCGCTGCCGCACCGAAGTTCGCCTGGACTCGGAGCGACAGAAGATTCTGGATTCGCAGCAGCCCTCGGACCAGGACTTTTCGTGGGAGGAGTACCAGTTCGTTAGCTTCTTTATCTTCTTCACCTTCACCAGCATCATGCTGATCCTGAACTGCTTTGCGGACGGATTGCCCAGGCAGACCAAGTACCAGAGGGGTGAGAACGAGATTCCCGAGCTGTCAGCCAGTTTCCTTTCCAGGATCACCTATATGTGGTTCGACAAAATGGCCCTCAAGGGCTATCGCAACCCACTGGAGGAGAAGGATCTTTGGGACCTGAGGCCCCAGGACAGCTGCTCCGAGGTCATGCCCATCTTCGCCCACCACTGGAACCAGAACGTGCGCAAGAACTACAGGAACAAGGCCCGCGTAGAACCCAAGGCCCAGTTTAGCAATGGCAATGTGACTTTTGAAAATCCTCATGGAGAGAAGAATGGTCGGAAAAAAGGCATGGCCAGTATTATGCCGCCAATTTACAAGTCCTTTGGAGGCGTCTTTTTGTTCGGCGCCCTGATGAAGTTGTTCACCGACGTCCTCACATTTGCCCAGCCCCAAGTCCTGAGTTTGATCATCAGCTTCGTTGAGGCCCAAGAAGCCGAGCCCGAATGGAAGGGTATCTTATACGCTGTCCTACTTTTCGTTTTGGCCGCTGCCCAGACCTTTATTCTGGGTCAGTACTTCCACCGCATGTTCATTGTGGGCCTGCGAATCAGGACAGCTTTAATCAACGCCATCTACCGCAAGGCCCTGCGCATTTCGAACTCCACCAAAAAGGAGTCCACCGTGGGCGAGATCGTCAACCTGATGGCCGTGGATGCCCAGCGATTCATGGAACTGACCACCTACCTGAACATGATCTGGTCCGCGCCCCTGCAGATCGCCCTGGCCCTGTATTTCCTCTGGCAGCAACTGGGACCCTCTGTGCTGGCCGGTTTGGCTGTGATGATTATCCTGATTCCTGTGAACGGTGTGATTGCCAGTCGCATCAAGACCTATCAGATCAGACAGATGAAGTACAAAGATGAGCGTGTCAAGTTGATGAACGAAGTACTGAGTGGCATTAAGGTAAGGGGTCTTAAGACTAAGGATTAGGTAGCAGCCTAATCTCTTAAGTACAACAATTATCCTCTGTCATGCTGACTGTTGTCAGAAGTCGATGCTGCATTCTTTGTCCCCCAATAAGTTTTTATAATCCGTTTTTATAATCCGCATAGGTGCTGAAGCTGTACGCCTGGGAACCGAGTTTCGAGAAGCAAGTGTTGGATATCCGTGACAAGGAGATTGCGACGCTGCGATCCACTGCCTATTTGAACGCGGGAACTTCGTTTTTGTGGTCCTGTGCCCCCTTCCTGGTAAGATATGCCAGCCCAGCAGGGCTCTGAGTCCTCCGAGATTTCTTTACAGCTGACTGAGATGAGTTGGACGTGTAGCATTGGACTAATCTGGCAAATATATGTACTTCGTGTCCGAATAAACAAAGGTTTCCTTGGTCACGTTCGCCACTTACGTGCTGACCAGCGAGGCGAATCAGCTGAGCGTCGAGAAGGTGTTAGTCTCAATCGCCCTCTTCGACCTCATGAAACTCCCGCTGACCATCCTGCCCATGCTGAGTGTTGACATAGCCGAGGTACGGCTCCCACGATGGCGATGGATTAACAACCTCTTCGGCTATGGTGCACCTCCGCTCTCCTATATCCATCAACTTCAGATCAAGGATCAAAAACAACCATTTTATCAACGCCTTAAACGAAATTGTGTATTATCTTTTAGGTTTCATTAGTTACATTCGCCACTTACGTTTTAATCGATGAAAATAACGTGCTTGATGCCACCAAAACCTTTGTCTCATTATCATTATTCAACATTCTACGATTTCCGCTAACAATGTTGCCCATGCTGATCACCAACCTGGTGCAAGTAAGTTACGCCCGATTGCAATACCAAATACTACCACTCTAGTCGATCACAGTGGGGCTGAGGATTCTACTTCCCTTATTACTTATGCCGATCCACGGCCCCATTGTGATCGTCGATTTTGTGCCGTTTTGTGATTGTGATTTATGTTTATTTACTTAATTTGAATTCTTTTTTAGCCAAATCGAACTTACACAGAACTATATTCTCCCAAACCAAAGTCCCCACCCAGCACTAAATCCTTACACTCATTTATTCCAAAATTATACACTCAACGTTTCATTCATGTGGGATTGAAAGTTGTCCGAACCAAACCAGTTCCGATTTGTCATATATCTGGTGGTGGGCTACCTATTTCATCCGTAGCAACCATTTGTTTGGGTTTCAATATGCCCTTGCAGAGGGCATTTAAGGGGGATTTAATTACAATTATAACGATGTCAAGGAAATTTGTCTGAAAGAACAATGGGATCAATAATCAGTTTGTTGTTGCAATGCAATACATTTATGTATATGTTTTTTTAAGTAATCTTTTTGAAAAATGATTAACTTAATACCATTTCTCATAGCCGAACCGTCGACACTTTGTTCGTTCTGCAGGGGTATATGAAATCCTCGGAGATCCGAGGATGTTCCTTATTCATTCAGTTTCGGATATATACATTTTCCCCATATCCACATTATTTTTCCTTTCCCAAACCTATTACTAACATATTTTGTGTATGCAAACAAAGTATATTTTGCAAAACAATTTTAACTGATATCCCATATTGCATGTGCGAACGAATAGACGCAAGTTTCCGTGAATCGTATCAATAAGTTTCTGAACAGTGAGGAACTGGATCCCAACAGCGTTCTCCACGACTCCTCCAAACGTAAGGACATTCAAGAAATTTGTGAAGATCTTTACCTTAATATATTTTGTATACAAACAGCCCACCCTATGAGCATTGAGAATGGCGAGTTCTCTTGGGGCGATGAGATCACGCTGCGCAATATTAATATCGAGGTGAAGAAGAACAGCCTGGTGGCCCTGGTTGGCACGGTCGGTTCCGGCAAGTCGTCTGTAGTGCAGGCTTTCCTCGGTGAAATGGAGAAACTTGCGGGCGTTGTCAACACTGTGGGCAAGTTGGCCTATGTACCGCAGCAGGCTTGGATTCAGAATGCGACGGTGAGGGACAACATCCTGTTTGGTCAGACGTACGACCGAAAGCGCTACAACAAGGTTATCGACGCCTGTGCCCTGCGTGCCGATATCGACATCCTGTCGGCTGGAGATCTCACGGAAATCGGTGAGAAAGGCATTAATTTATCAGGTGGCCAGAAGCAGCGCATCTCGTTGGCCCGTGCTGTGTACAGCGATGCCGATCTGTATCTGCTGGATGATCCTCTGAGCGCCGTGGACTCACATGTGGGCAAGCACATCTTTGAGGAGGTTATCGGACCCAAGGGTATACTGGCACGGAAATCCCGCGTGCTGGTCACCCACGGCGTCACTTTTCTGCCCCAGGTGGACAGCATCTATGTGATGAAAATGGGCGAAATTAGCGAAAGCGGTACATTCGACCAACTGGTCAAAAACAAGGGCGCCTTCGCCGACTTCATTATCCAGCATCTGCAGGATGGCAACGAAGAGGAGGAGGAGCTTAACCAGATCAAGCGTCAGATCTCCAGCACCGGAGATGTCCCTGAGCTGTTAGGCACTGTCGAAAAGGCCATTAAGTTGGCGCGCACGGAAAGCTTGTCCGATTCCATGTGAGTACATCTTCATAAAGGACTATGAAGTAAACATTATTTATTTTAAAACTATTTGACTTTCTAAATGAACTCTCTTTTTTAGTTCGGTTACATCTGCTGATAGTTTGATGGGCGGAGGAGGAAGTCTCCGCCGGCGAACAAAGCGACAAGACTCCCACGATTCCGTTGCCTCTGCCGCTTCCCTGAAAAAGAAGCAGGAGGTACAGGGCAAACTGATTGAAACTGAGAAATCGCAGACTGGTGGCGTGGAGTTCGCAGTGTACAAGCACTACATCAAGAGTGTTGGCATCTTCCTATCGGTTGCCACATTGGTACTCAACTTTGTATTCCAAGCTTTCCAAATCGGCTCGAATCTGTGGCTGACTCAATGGGCGAACGATCAAAATGTCGCCAACGACACTGGCCTCAGGGACATGTATCTGGGTGTTTATGGTGCCTTCGGATTTGGCCAAGGTAAGTCCGCTGTGATTCGATTTACTTTTGAAATTCTTCGTTTGAAGTTATGCTTGTTTCATGTTCGTTTTGTCCATTTGGTTGTTTTATTTTAAGTTTGTTTTGTTATAAATGTATATTTTAACTGTATTTTATTAACTGCATTAGTTTTGCTGCTATTTTATGCCCTTTATATTTATGTTTTTTTATTTCTTATATTTGTTTTTACTTAACTCGTAAAAAAATGGTTTCAAAATATTAAAGCAAATGGTGTGAGGTAATACAAAGATCTTTAGCTAATAAAAGAACATAATGCACTACTTTAAAAGTATCAGTGCATTAACAAATGTTTTAAATTTATGAAACCATATTTTTTACATTTATTTAATTTCGATGTATTCTATGTTTGGTTGGGGGATTTCATTTATGTTTTGCTTACTTAACTGCTTCCTTCCTTTGGCGCCAAGAGAACACATGCTGCTCAGCTACCAGTAGGCGGTTTGAATAACCTTCAGTCCCGGTTAAAGTACCTAACTAGCTAACACTATCTTCGGCTTTCTACACAAAATTACGAAAATGCACACAAATCCAAAAGCACTAACAACACCGCGAACAAATTAGTTCTTATATGGCTGCACGCTTGGCAAACTGAACACGAAAGGCTTTTCATATTAATAAATGCTATTAATATTATTTCCACACAAAAATGTTTTGAAAATCGATTTTGGTTTATCGATTTTGAACATAATAGTCAAATCACTTTACTAACGGTTCTCCTTTTGTGTGTGTATGTCTGTGTGCGTAAATGTGTTGCATAGTAAATAAACCTATTCACCAATAATTTGTGAATACCTTCCGACCCTACCTAATCAAAACTAATCTTTAATGATTGGCAAAAATCGAAAAAATCGAATAAATATCGAATTCTAGTCGCTACGAACTTCTTCGCATCCCTCGCCATCTCATTGGGTTGTCTCAAGTGCTCGCACTTGTTACATCAGACCCTTCTATACTACAATCTCCGCTGGCCAATGGAGCTCTTCGACACGACGCCACTGGGAAGGATTGTCAATCGCTTCTCGAAAGATATCGATACAATCGATAATGTGCTGCCATTCAACATTCGTGTCGTCATGGGTCAGGCATATATGGTAATTGATTGGAGTGGATCCATGCACGGCCATATTTTATCTATCAGGAATATCGGATCATTCTATATATCATGGATCGGCTTATCATGCACTACCATTAATATCTAATAATACTCCTTCGTGCTCTTTATTTTAATGAAGCCATCTCTTATTGACCATTTTCTTCTTACGCTTTGCAAAGAACTATCTTTACTTAATTGATATTTATAGTAACTAGGAACAATTAATGATTTATTTGATGTTTGAAGTATGAGGCAGTTAAAATGAGAGCACGACTGAGTAAACTTCGTCGGTGGGCAAGAGGTTCTGGTCACTAATCGGTATACCCGTACTGTCGCTCTCTTCGAAGTTGTTTCAGCGTACCTATCCGACCTGATCCTCTCATTGGGTTGCGTTTTTAGCGCCCGGTACATGCACAACGTGCTGCTCTATGGCACTTTGCGTTGGCCTATGGAAAAGTTCGACATCACACCTCAGGGTCGCATTGTGAACCGTTTTTCCAAGGACGTAGATACAATTGACAATATTCTGCCATTCAGTTTTCGGTTCATCATTATGCAATTGTATGCGGTAATTATCCCAAAAAAGTACATGTCCGAAACAAATCGCCATCGCCCATACTCAGCTCAGATCTGAGTGCAGTTCTTTTAGAATGTTTTGTCCACGCTTTTGCCTAGCAATTCAATGAAAATTAATAAAAACAATGTGTAAAACACATGTTTAATTGAACTTTCCAGTTACCTCATACCTCTTTTGTTCTCTCACGCTGGCCCTTGGATGCATCTACTGCTCCAAGCTGATGCACGAGACGCTCCTGTCATATGTATTCCGATGGCCCATGGAACTGTTTGATACCACGCCCCTAGGCCGCCTTGTCAATCGCTTCTCAAAGGACGTCGATACCATCGACAATGTCCTGCCGATGCTTTGGCGCATGGTCATCAGTCAAGCGTTTGCGGTAAATGTCTATTAAGGCGGGCGTTTCAAGACTTCAATAGTTGAATATCATCATTTCCTTCATGAGCAATATAAGTCGGATTAGTTCCAAGGACAGATTTCCGAATCGGCTGAGTAGTACAATTATCTTTTCTAAATTTATTGTAAAAAACGCTGCTTGCAAGAATCTGAATCCCAAGCTTTTCGTTAGATATGGTTGAAGGAAATCGTTGGGAATGTGATAGTTTGTTGCACTTATTGTTAAGAATCTACTGCAGTGTTTCCTTATACCCTTCTCCTTAGACTGAATCGATGATGCACACTAACTGGTTTCAATTGGCACTCTCCCAATAAGAAGTCTTATCCTCATGCTATGTGGCACTAACTCCAACGATCTATGTTGTGTATTTATATGTAAATATGAACACTAACTTTGTAGGGGGGCTTACAGAACCAACAAATTCTAGAAGCATGATCAGTGGAATCTTAAGTTCAATTTAGAAAGTTAGTTTCCCCTAACACCTAATTGTAATGCCTAGCACCTAAACCGATTTATGTACGTTACATACAGTGCTAGCCAAATATTTATCGGGTCTCGCCTTGGCCATCGGAGGACTCCATTCCTCAATGAATGTATTCAACAAGCTGCTGAACACAGGCCTCAAATGGCCGATGGAACTGTTCGACACGACGCCATTAGGTCGCATTCTGAGTCGGTACTCGAAAGATGTCGATACGGTTGACACTGTACTGCCCGGGATAACAGTACAGTTGTTAAACACATGTTTCGCGGTAAAGATTGACCCTTTAACCTCCTCCATTGCCCGATGGAATGTGGAGAAGCTTAGATCCCAAGCCAGAAACCTAACAAAAGCTTGCATACTACTAACTATGAAAACTGCACTTTCGCACTATTCTTTCAATTTACTAATTTTCGTTCAACCTGCATTCTGTTAAATCCCCTGCAACATCTATAACTCTCACTTTATCGCATTCTTTTCCCAAGTTTCACTATCGAACAAACTATCATAAACCCCACCTTTCACCACTCAGACATTTAAGCGTTATGCTAGATTTCACTAGTGCCTTGCAAAATGTATTGCCTTTTATTTTGGATCAAAGCTCTTCTTAATATAAGACTCATCAAACAGAATACCCATTCTTTGGATGTGCGAGTTGCGTGTGCGAATGCCCGAAAGGGGAACTCAAACCACTTAGGCTTAAGCCCATTCTTAATCAGGGACTATGGTCACAAAACACTCTGCAGATGTACTGGTCTCAGAGCCCTAAGTGTTAAGGTTTCTTTATAAGTGGGAGCTGATGTTATGCTTTGGTTGAACGACCCACTTAGAAGATCGCCTCATTTAGTCAGCCATCCATGCGAATCGAGTATTCCAGACACTCACCGAGTGCTCACGGGCACACCTGTTCCGCTCTTCCACATTTCCGATTGTACCAGGTGTGCTAGCCTACTTTGCGGTGGTCATCGTCTACCTGGGCGGCTTCCAGGCGGCAAAGACCATCCACAATGAGCTGCTGGCCGTCATAATCCGAGGCTCCGTGTGCCGCTTCTTCGACATCACTCCGATCGGGCGACTCTTGAACAGCTTCAGCGGCGATATGGATGTTGTCGACGAAGAGTTGCCCGCCACCATGGATTCCTTTATGACCTTTATCTTTATGGTATTTGCATAATTGATTTCGCTCATTTTTTACAGTATATTTCTCCTCCCCCCTTTATTGTTATTATTGATTGATAACTTTTGATTTGTAGCCCTTAAAGAGTTACGGTTTGTACCTGCAGAACTTTCGTTGTAGAAAGATTTTGCCCACGTTTTCATACATATCTCTAGCATTTGAAATATCTCCATATCTCATTTGATCTCTTTCTCTATTTCTCCAAACCGCATCAAATCAAGCTAGGTCTTTGCAATTACGGCGCCGCCATATCACTTTTCACAGCCACCCTACACGCCTCATCCAGAGTTTTCCATCGACTCTTTAACAACATCATGCATTGTCCCTCCGAGTTTTTCGATACCACGCCCAAGGGTCGGATTTTGGATCGCTGCTCAAGCGATGTCAATTGTTTGGACTTGGTAATGCCGCTTAATATAAGAATGGTCATGAGCACGGCATTTCAGGTAATCCCTTAAAGTGGAGTTCAAGCGAGCATGGTTATACCTTTGACATCTTTTTTTTTACCAATATTAACTTTTTTGTAAATGCAATTATAATAGTAAAGCATCGAAACCAGTAGTGGGTTATGAATGTTATTATAGTTTCAGTATTGTTTCAAAGTCCAAACATTTTTTTAGCGATTTTAAAAATATCGTTAGAATTGTTTTTTAGCAGCAGCTTTGTTTCATTTGTATTGTCCCAAGAAACCCTAACCTAGGCTTAATAATAGTTTGTCTCCTAACCTTTGTCCCAAATCTTGTATTCAGTCGTTCAAAAATAGACTAGCGAATCTTTTAAGTAAGTTACGTTCCGATCTTATAAGGATAAATTCCGTTTGAAATCCCAAGTCTGCAGCTATATAGGCAGTGTGGTAATCGTTTACCTGGGTGCCCTGATTGGGACCCGGAAAATATTTATCCAGCTATTCGGCCACATTTTGCATGCCCCACAAGCGTTTTTCGACTTAAAGCCCCGGGCACGAATTCTCGATCGTTTGGCAAACGATATTTACAAGTTGGATGTGGTATTGCCAGAACTAATACGCGTGTTTAACTCGCAAATATTCCGGGTACGTTCGCTGTGACTAACCGACAATTAAAGAACCATTTTCTAACTAATACCGACTAACAAGTATCATTGTAAAAACTCTCAGCCCGTAGCAATTTGGAGCCCCCTGGCAACCCGCATCCCTAGAGCGTAGTATGTAAATAAGTATTCGAATCTACGGGGCGGGCGCATGTTGTAATCTCGCAATCTCATTCACTCTAACTTAAGATTCCTGTGGTTGTCTCCCCTTTTTTGGAATCGTATCTTGAGGGCAAAAAACTCGAAAAACTAAACAAATTACTGCATTTTATATCATTATTTGCAAAACATAAATATTTAACAATTTTAATTTGGCAACCTTAACCGCAATAAAGATGTATTTCGCAAAATCTATATCTTAAGTTAAAAAATCTGCAGAAAAGTTACCAAAATACTCTTCTCTAAGTTTTCAATACTTGAATACTCCTACCAATTTCCAAATTGGATCAATTGAATCGAGTAAAATGATTTAGGTTCGGTGCATTTGTTAAGTTGTAGAGTGAGCCAACCACGTATTCCTTTGTGGAATCGGCAGGCCAACCTCTATACGATTTTCCTACTCGAAGAGCCCCTCTCGAGCATCGAATTCAGCTGGTTGACTATTGCTATGCCCATCGATGAGAAATTTAACTCTTCATCCATACTGAATTGCCTAATCGCAGGTATCACGTCATTCTTATCGGACCTGGCTCCGGCATTGGGTAGTTTGCATGCCGCAAGAGTCCTGCACTCGATGCTCCTCGAAAATGTGCTGAGAGCACCAATGACCATGTTCGATACGACGCCGGTGGGTCGCATCTTGTCTCGATTCTCGAAAGACGTTGAAACGGTCGACCAGAATATGCCGCAGGTCATTAATGATTGCATTTGGTGTGCATACGAGGTAATTTCACAGCACTTTGCACTAGGAACCGTCTTCAAATTGCTACAAAACGTGTACACACATCGAAAGAAATCTCAGTGACATTTTAACCCTGTGCATATAAAACGACTAACTAGACCAGATTAATATCCTTATGGCGGCGCCTCATGGCTTCTCCGTCTCTATATCCCATCCCTTATATGCGATGTCATTGAGTTTGAGCGTTTGATCCAAAACAAAGGGAAATTCATTATAAATTTCTACTCATCTTGATTTTCCTATTAACACCCGGCATTTTCCCGCACGTATGACATATTTTCTGTTTACCTGGACAGCACTTACTTACATTGCTATATTGCTATTGGTTAGGTTCTGGCTACCATTGTGGTTATTAGTCTGTCCACGCCGATTTTCCTGGCCGTGATCGTGCCCATCGCCTTCCTGTACTACTTCGCCCAGCGCTTCTACGTGGCTACTTCGCGGCAGCTGATGCGTCTGGAATCCGTCTCCCGGTCACCAATCTACTCGCACTTCAGCGAAACTGTCACCGGAGCATCGACTATTCGTGCCTACAATGTGGGTGATCGGTATGTATTTGGATATCATTTGTAAAATAAAGCAAAAATGTCTAAAGATTCCAATTTACTTAATTGCTTCAGTTTTATTGAGGAATCCGATGCCAAGGTGGACAAGAACCAGGTTTGCAAATACCCGTCCGTGATTGCCAACCGATGGCTGGCCATTCGTTTGGAGATGGTGGGCAATCTGATTATTCTGTTCGCATCGCTCTTCGCCGTCCTGGGAGGACAAACCAATCCCGGCCTGGTGGGCCTGTCGGTAAGCTACGCCCTGCAGGTGACCCAAACCCTCAACTGGTTGGTGCGCATGTCATCCGACATTGAGACGAATATCGTGTCCGTGGAGCGCATCAAGGAGTACGGCGAGACCAAGCAGGAGGCTCCCTGGGAGCTGGAGCAGGACAAGAACAAGCCGAAGAACTGGCCGCAGGAGGGACGCGTTGAGTTCCAGAACTTCCAGGTGCGCTATCGCGAAGGCTTGGACCTGGTGCTGCGCGGTGTTAGTTTCAATATCAAGGGTGGCGAGAAGGTTGGCATCGTTGGTCGCACGGGTGCCGGTAAATCCAGTCTCACATTGGCCTTGTTCAGGTAAGCAAGATAAATAAATGATTTAAGGTCACCATTAATTCTTGATTTGCATTCAGAATAATTGAAGCTGCCGGTGGTCGCATCTCCATCGATGGTGTGGACATTGCCTCAATGGGTCTGCACATGTTGCGTTCCCGCCTGACAATTATCCCCCAGGATCCAGTGCTCTTCTCTGGTTCGCTGCGCATCAACTTGGATCCCTTTGAAATCAAAACCGATGACGAAATATGGAAGGCCTTGGAGCTGTCCCATCTGAAGTCCTTTGTGAAAAGTTTGGCAGCTGGTCTGAACCACGAGATTGCCGAGGGTGGTGAGAATCTGTCCGTGGGACAGCGCCAGTTGGTTTGTTTGGCGCGTGCTCTGCTGCGTAAGACCAAGGTCCTGGTGCTGGACGAAGCCACCGCCGCTGTGGATCTGGAAACAGATGATTTGATTCAGGTGGGCGCTATTAACTTGTATACATTTTTACAATATTACATGAATATATTTTTTTTTATAGAAAACCATCCGAACGGAGTTCAAGGAATGCACTGTTCTCACAATTGCTCATCGCTTGAACACAATTTTGGATTCGGACAAGGTAATCGTGCTGGACAAGGGCCAGATCACCGAGTTTGCCTCGCCCACGGAGCTCCTGGACAATCCCAAATCGGCCTTCTATAGCATGGCCAAGGACGCCAACCTAGTTTAAGATCCATGAATGTCAAATTGAAACTCCACGAAACTCAAACGAAGGAGTGTTTCCGCCAACAAAAACCACTAGGAAAATCATTCAACAGTAGCTTTAAGCCATTGGCACTGACAGCTCTACCTCATGGCTAGAACAAATAACTATGAGAAAAACAAAGCTTACACAACAAAGGAACAATAAGCGGAAGAAATTAGCAAATACCAACTAAATGTTCATTAGACTAAGCGAAATAATTCAAGCCAGTTGCGCCTTCGTCGGTTACGCTATGTTCGTTTTTAATATGTATATGTATTTACATAGTCAAGTGTATTTTTCTATTGTCTATTGTACTTAGTTTTCTATGCAACATGAACCGGTATAAGCGAGATGGAGCATAAGCCCAGAAAGAAAAAATAACTCTTATGTATGCCACATAATTATTGTATGTACTTAAATTAACAAAACAGAAGATTGAGATACTACTTAAACTCTCTCAAGAATTTTTGCCTTCAACTGATAAAATCAGTGAGAAAAATGGTCAATGTAGTTAAATCAATTTATTAAAACTTTTGTAGAATGTATACTTAAATCAAAAATAAACGCCCAACAAAATGCGAATTAAATTTAGATGTGCTTTTTTATTATACAAATAAAAATTTACTTTGTGTGATATACCCGTTGCTCGTAGAGTAAAAGGGTATACTAGATTCGCTTTTTTTCAATTTATTACTTTTTTGCCAATTTCTACCGATATTCCAGGAAAATGTTGAAGTTTGCACTTCCACTAGCTGAGTAACGGGTATTTAATAGCCGGGGAACTCGACTATAGCATTGTACCAAAGACACTAGAATAATAAGATGCGTAACGGCCATAATTGGCCATAAAAAAGTTGTGCTAGAAAACGATTTTCGGTCCGAAATCAATTTTGATCTAAGAAACGAATTTGATTAATGTTTTGGTCAATTTCGTTGTAATATGAGCTAAATATTATTCAAAAATTGATGCCGTGACTATTATTTTTTTTTAAGAAGATGTTTAAATATTCTTTAGTTAAAATCGCCGCTCGAATTAGCTACCGTTTACATATAAATATTTTTATTATTAATTACCTGTAATATATGTATTTTTTGGTACCCAGGGAACACCACGGGGTGGACATTATAATTGTAATGGGGTCGTATATTTATATGACCTTTTTACTTTTTACTAACGAGTACTTTGTACTCGATTGCCAGAGAACAAATAATATAGATTTTTGTTTAGGGAACATATTTTCTTGTAGCCCTATAATTCCCAACTAGTTCTAGTGAAGACATGCCTTAGTCTTCTAATTTAGAGTCGCAAAATAGTTCAAGTAATCTATCTTACCGGTCGAGCAGTGAGTGTAGTGTATGTGTAGTGTATATATGTATATATATATGTATATATATATATATATATGTATGTATGGATGTATGTATGCATGTATGTATGCATGTATGTATGCATGTATGTATGCATGTAGGTATGTATGTATGTATATATGTATGTATGTATGTATGTGTGTATGTAAGTATGTATGTATGTATGTATGTGTGTACGTATGTATGTATGTATGTATGTATGTATGTATGTATGTATGTACGTATGTATGTATTCTCTCTCTCTGGCTCTTGAACAAAAATTCTAGAGCCAGCCCGAAAAAATCGTGTGCGAAAAAATCGTATGGCGACGCATCTTATTATTCTAGTGTCTTTGATTGTACCCTGTTTTTATTTGCAGCTTAGGTAGCCTAGAACTTGGTATTTTGCGAAAGTTTGCATAAAGTAAACAGTGCATTTATAAAATAGCCTTTAGCTTTAAATGTGTTGTCATCTTGGAAATCCTTCGAACCTTTTTGCTTGGCTTTTGACAACTTAAAGCCTTAGCCTCACATTTTGCCTGACTAATATGGCAGCGAAGGGCCATAAATTATATTTATAAGCGCCGAAAAGCAGTCTAAACTGTTTGGAGACAATTTCCAGCCACCTATTACCCAGCCAACTTGAGATATATGTATTTATTTTAGACATTTGCCGGGAGACACCCACTGAAAATGAGCATTCCATTTGTCTTTATTTAGGCTCGGACACAAAATGGCTGCTCGGAGGCTGCATTTATTGACAATAAACAGGTCATAAATTACGAATTGAATAGGCTGAGCATTAGAGAGCGAGTTCTTTTCCAAATTTCTAAATGCAAGTACAAAAAAAAATTAAATGTCCTTGGCCAGGCCCTACTTTTGTATTGTTTTTCAGCATGACAAAACGAACTTCAAAGTGAAAGTTGCAAGGCGCCTTTGTATATCCGTTTTTGTGGGCGGCTGGGGGGCGTGGCTGCGGAGTGCACTTGAAAACAAAAAGCGTAAAGTTATTAAAGGTTTTGTGTGCGCTTTGTGTGCCCGCTTTCATGTCACTTACACTTTTGGCCATGTTTCAAAGCCCCTTTTAGCCAGCCCCATCGCCGGCTTTCAATGTGTGCCGCCTGGTCTTTCACTCGGTAATCTTGAGAATGGCTTTTGCATATATCTCGTCGTGGGTTTGGCAGCTGGGGAGCTGGGGAACTGGGGAACGGGAGCACAAAACTTCAAGCGTGCGGCAAATTCAATTTGAAAATTTCAAATGTTTTGCTTATTTTGCAGCCCCTGAAAACCACGTCCACGTCCACATCAATGCATATATTTTGTTTTTGTTCTTCACTGTTTGGAAATTACATTTTTATGAGGGGTGCCCGGCACCCGGCACCCGACTCCTGGAGTGTCAATCCCCAATTTCAAGACAAGAATGGGAGGGCGTGACGCGGTGCCGCCCTCTCTCGAACTCCTTTGAAAGTTGCATCGGCCCCACCAAAAAAGGGGCCAAATGAATATTTTATTGCCCGCGCATCAGAGGCAGCCGAAAGCAAGTGAAAGATTTTTGATGTATGGCAAGTTGGTGCCCAGAAATTGGCCACCCGCCGTGCAGCAGCAGTCATAGGAGCCCATTGAGGCCCCCAGCACAGTGGGAGCAGTAGTGAATCTACTTGGCTAGGGAACGCGTTCTATACCAAGAGCTATTGCTCGATTTCTTCATTTAAAATCAAATATCAAGTTGGAGTCACTGTTCTGCCCACCGTGCGGAGACGGAACAGGATCCCTTCCTGGCTCAGGGGCATCTCCTATGGTCGCTGTGGGATTGTGCGTGTTACGGAAGTAAACAAAATATATTTCGAGGACCCTGCCCCAGCTCCTGGGGGGCAGGTCCTTCGCCTGGCTCACGCATCAAAGGAGCCATTTCGGATGTGCCAAAAGCTCCATGGTGGATCTCATGCGGCGCTTCAATTTCTATTGCTCTCCAGTTGCGTACTGCATCAAAATGTTGTATAAAAATATTTTCATATTTTATTTTATGTAACTGAATGTGTTGGCAAGGGCAATAAACGAAAGTCAATCGAGTGAAAGTGCGTGCCCTCCATTAAAGGAAGCAGATTTCAGTAAAAATTCCTAAAGTATTAAATGTGTTAATTATGTATTTTAAAACCTGCAATATGTGTAGATCGGAAATTATGAAATGAAATATTTATTGCCAATGCAAACTATTCTTGAAGAGTTTCACACAAGTCCAAATCGCTGTGAGTTGGGTTGGCAGGAAAACAGCAAATTACCTAAAAACCGAATCGCTGTCGGACACCAACTCCCAAATGCTTTCATTCGGTTTCCATGTCCTGTCTGTGATGCAAGGCATATGGAAACGAAGCGCCAACTCCCGCAGAGGTGACACTCAGCATACGGATTTTATAGCACGCTTTTTAGGGCCTCCTTCCCTGTCAGTCTCCGTCTATTTCGCTTTCTATTCAAGTGACATACAGCTGTCTAGGTGTGAGATTTGCGGGTGTGTGTTGGTTCGCGATGCGTGCACCTGAAAAAATTTATGGAATTTCAAAGTTCATATAGCGAGGAACTAAACTTATGCAATAAAAGAAACTATTCCACATAATTACCATAATATCAATTTTAACTTGACTACTTAACAAGTAAGGAACCTTTTTTGAAGCACGCATACAACTCATTTAAAACAAGCTAAGTTCTTTAATTGTGAAATATGTATTTATTCGAAAAGCAATACCATGCTTGGAATTTTTTCCGGTGCACGTGAGTGTGTGAGACCGAGCTAAAATTCATTTGTCAAAAGGATTACCATGGTAATAGGGTTTTAAGCATATCCTGGCAAACATTCACAGCTTTTTTGCGTGAAACATTTTTTTCAACTCGCCTCGCTTCACATGGTTTTGGTTTCGGTTTGTTTTGCATTGTTTGTTTTCGGTTGCGGCGGCCACAGGTGGCGGCTAATTAAAAAGCGGGATTAAGCAATTATGACTGACATTTGTACAACACACATAATCGCACCTCGCACCACGCACCAGCCCAGGCACTTGGCTCACCTTTGGCAAACAGATTTATTTTGGCAGCAAGCTGCTAATAAATTGACTGCAATCAAAGCTGTCATAAGTTGAGCAGGACAGCGCCCACGCAGCCTTTCCGGAAGGACAAATAACTGAGGTCACGTTCAGGTTTACCAAGGCAGAGGCAGGTCCTTGAAAGGGATACTCCAGGGTCACCTTCGAAAACCTCCAACTACAGACAACCAAACTACAGTCCTGCAATCAAATGGCTTAGAAACTATTACTTTTTAGTTACGCCACCTTATATTTGCTTGTAATCCATTCTCCGTTAACGACGCCCCTGCTTGGGCGACACCCACCCGCAGCCAAATGACAGCCTAATCGCCCAAAAAATCAAGCCAAGCGGAGACATTGTCCTCCCCGGACGCAAGGATTCCTGCTGGCTGCCATGTGTCGCCTCTGCCATCATCTTCGCCGCTGTGGGAAACTACCTCCCCGGAACCCTCGGAGTCCCTCAGTCTCCAACGAGGCGAAAATGTACAAATTGTTGTGATTTATTTTAACAGATTTTTTGTTAACCCAAGAGGAGTGACACGGGGGTGATGGCATAGAAGCATTCGCTGCTCTATTGATGAATATGCTGGTGGGTCACTCACATGTGACAGGGACGGCGACGGCGAGGGGGATTCCGAAGGGGGTCTGGAGAGGCCGGCGCGTGACAATGCGCCAATGTGTGGTCAAGTGCGCACGACTGAGCTGGGGGAGCTGGGGCAGCCCCAAAGGAGGCTCCATCAATTTGTCCCCAGATGGAGCACGGCAGGATTGGAGGTGTGGAGGCGGGCACCCGTAAGCAGGGGGATGGAGCAAAAGTTAACGTTAACAGGTTTAACCAGGCTAAGGACAAGTGTGGAGATAGTGGCCGGAATAGCTGAAGGGGCGCGGGGCTGGGCGGCCCCACAGCTGTGGTGTGGATGATGATGGGGCACCCTCATCATTAGTGAGAAATGCTTGAGTTTTAACTGAAAGACTTGGATGAACACGTGTCCCACAGCGGGTATGTGTGCATGGTGGCCAACAAAGGCGTGTCCGGAGAAGGACACATACATGTGCTCGTATTTTTCAATAAAAAATTGACTAATCACGTGCATGTTTTTCCGCAAATTGCACTGCTTAAGCTTTATTGTCTGGGAATTATTCAGGAACTGTTCAATTGTATATTAAGCATAAT